AGCAATGGGCACCTTCTTTTTCCTTCATTCCCTTTCAAAAAAGTATTTCTTACCCTTAGAATATGAAGAACCCAGCTAGGTGTGGCATTTAGGCAGTATATTTTACAACCCCAAGAAAGGAACCTCCATCTGCTTTACATCCTCTGGACTCCTACACTTTTAAGATCAACCCTTCCTTGATGACTGTGTGCTAGAACACAATCATCTGAAAGTCCTAGAACTGCTAGTATGCCCAGTAGCCTAAGAATGCTTGCTGGAATGAGCCAATAAACAAGTCAGTATTACAGGCAGTCTCTAAAAAACTCACAGGAATCTGGGCAATTGGCAGTGAGTCTACTTTGCTTTTCTTCTCTCTGTTCCCCACAGTTGGCTCCCACTGGAAGCACTTCTCTTCTCAACTCCATGGCTGTCATTCAGAATCCTGTGAAGGTCTGTGATCAGGTATTTGCCCTGATTGAAAACCTCACTCACCAGATCCGGGAACGGATGCAGGACCCCAAGTCTGCAGGTACGTATAAATACTTCTGTCTCTAGGCCTCCCTGGTGGCCCAGGGGTTGAAGTCATAGTGCTGTCAAGCTATTGCCAGCCACTGTGACATGAGTTCAATCCTCAGCCAAGGAACATGTCACAGCAGACCGCTTCTATCTCACCCACTGCTCCCCTCAGCAGTGTATTTCCGTCAGTCTGCCTGTTCTGCTCCCCACTCTGTCTCTGGTGAATCCTCTCACCCTCCCTGCACCTCTGGCCTACACTCCAGTTCTTGTATGCATAAATAAAATAAATTTAAAAAAAACTGTCTCTCCTTCAAGGTTTCAGCTATGAATGGTTTCTCAGGTACTCCTGTGTCATTTGCTAAATATGGGGGACAAGGAATTTGCATCTCTCTGGTTCTACTTCATAGTTATTAGAAGTAAAATCTTGACTTTATTTTTTCTTCCAGACCTGCAGCTCTATCACAGTGAGACACTTGAGCTAATGCTACAGCGTTGGAGCAAGCTAGAGCGAGACTTTCGACAGAAGAGTGGGCGCTATGATATCAGTAAGATCCCTGATATCTATGACTGTGTCAAGTACGATGTGCAGCACAATGGGAGTCTGGGACTTCAAGGCACAGCAGAGTTGCTTCGTCTCTCTAAGGCATTGGCTGATGTGGTCATTCCCCAGGTGTGTCTCATAGCAAGGATCTAGCCTGGGGATAGGGGCACTGGGGAAGGAAGAAGAGAAAAGGGAGAAAGGAGGGATGGCATGGGACCAGGAGAAGAAATTAGTTGAGTTGTCAGAATTCTCAGGGTTTACTCTGGCTCTGAGTAAATAGCAGAGACTAACTGAGAGAACCTGGAGAGGGGGAATGTCATGGATATAAAGGAAGCCCTAGATTTGAAGTGAAGCCAGACAGGATCTTGGGCCTGGGATTATGAGGCAAGAGGAGAACAAAATTTATTAAGGTACTTATTCCTGGCCTGTGGCCTCTAGGAGTACGGGATCAGTCGGGAGGAGAAACTGGAAATTGCTGTGGGCTTCTGTCTTCCACTGTTGCGGAAGATACTACTTGACCTGCAGAGAACCCACGAGGATGAGTCTGTCAACAAGCTGCATCCCCTGTGAGGGAGGGCTGGGAGGAGGGAGTGCTGGATGGAGGGAGGGGCATGTCAGGGAGCCCTTGGGGGAGTCCAGGCTGGGACAGCTCGGGAACCAAGAATAGAAGGGATCCTGGGATGGAAAGGAGAGAAGTCTTTGAGATGGGAGGAGGGAGTCTGTGTAGGGGTGGGAAGACGATAATCTAACAGTGTGAGTGACTTAGTTGTTATCTCAGGTACTCCAGAGGAGTGCTCTCCCCAGGCCGCCATGTTCGAACACGGCTCTATTTCACCAGTGAAAGCCACGTCCACTCCCTACTCAGTGTCTTCCGTTATGGTGGACTTCTTGACGTAAGGATCCTCTTTCTTCCTTTAGCCTGAACATTTTTTCCAAGTTTTTTTTTTTTTTAAGATTTATTTATTGATGTATACAGAACTGGGGTATAAGCCAGAGGTACAGGGGCGGTGAGAGGATTCACTAGAGACAGAGTGGGGAGCAGAACAGGCCGGCTGCCAAAGTACACTGCTGAGGGGATCAGCGGGCGGGTCAGGAGAGGTCTGCCGCATCATGTGTGTCATCTCCCAGGCTGGGGATCAAACTCACATGGAAGCGGCTGCAGCTATCTTGTAGTGCTGTGTCCTAACCTGTTGCACCACCAGGGAGAGCCCCATTTTTTTTTTTTTTAACTCTTCCTTATGCAATTTTTTACTGGAAGCTTTCTCTATTCCCTTTCTCTCTATTCTCCCTGCCTGTTCCCTGACTCCCTTGTCTTATGGTATTGACTTGCCTCCCCTTATGTTTGATAGGAGACCCAGGATGCACAGTGGCAGCGAGCACTAGCTTACCTTAGTGCCATCTCAGAGCTCAACTATATGACTCAGATTGTCATCATGCTTTATGAGGACAACACACGGGTGAGGAGTTAATAAGGTGGAATGAGCAATGGGCACCTTCTTTTTCCTTCATTCCCTTTCAAAAAAGTATTTCTTACCCTTAGAATATGAAGAACCCAGCTAGGTGTGGCATTTAGGCACAGCATGATGCAGAGCAGCCTACTAGAACAAAAAAGAGTGTGTTGGAATGGTGTTGATGCCACAGTCCTGGCATTAGGGAGGAGGGGGGATGGAATCTGGGATGATGTTAGAATGAGTCTTTTTCTCGCAAACATTTTTTCACATATACCTCATCTCCACAAAGATATCTTTAAATGTGCTGCTCAAGGCACAGAATTAGTATAGGTGTGTGTGTGGGGGGGGAGGGTTGTAGAAGTAGAAGTTGGAAAGTCATATGAAGTAGTAAATCTCAGATGGTGAAGGTGAAGGAATAAGATTCCTGTAACATCATAGTCAAAGGGAAATTATAGATCATGGGGTAGGACACTGAACCCTCAGTGTCCTCGGAGGATGATTCTTCCTGAGTTCCTCTCTGTGGTCCCTGCCTGATCTTCTACCAACATATCCAGCTTCTCCAATGCCCCTTCACCTGGTGTTACCCCCATAGGATCCTTTATCAGAGGAACGGTTCCATGTGGAGCTGCACTTCAGCCCTGGAGTGAAAGGTGTGGAGGAAGAAGGCAGTGCCCCAGCTGGCTATGGATTCCGTCCAGCCTCTTCCGAGGTGGGTCAGAATGCCAGGGTTTGAGACTGGGAGATTTAAGAATGTAGGGGTGAAAAATTTAGAAACAGTACTAGGCGGTAAAAGGATTGGGGAGTCTGGGATGATTAGGAGACTGGAGGCCATTAATTCCTGCTATCTGTGCCGGTTGAATAGAATGAGGAGATGAAAACAGACCAAGGCAGCATGGAGAACCTGTGCCCAGGGAAGGCATCAGATGAGCCAGACCGGGCCCTGCAGACTTCACCCCAGCCTTCTGAGGGTCCTGGCCTCCCAAGGAGATCACCCCTCATCCGTAACCGAAAAGCTGGCTCCATGGAGGTAATGGGAGGGACTTGGGAGAAAGTGGTGAAAATGCTTATAGGACAACGCTCATGTATTCTCTGAATCCCCTTGAGGGTATTCTTGGGACCTTAAGCAAAGTCCTCCTGACACAATGAATATGTTTTACTTAATATCTCTTTCACAGCTAGTCTCCCAATAAAGCTCCTTTAAGCTGGTTGCTACTTCTGAGGTTAAAGACTTGCCCCTGAGAGGTACCTGACAGATAAGGATTTTAAGAGATGAGACTAAGGAGAAGGTCTCTGTATGAATTTGGAAAGGCAGTTCTTTAAAAGGAAATGTAGTAAGAACAGCATAATCTCTGGGCTAAAATCCAGACTAATACTTTAGAAGCTGTGTGACCTTGGACAGGTAACTTCTCCCAGTCGCAAGTTTTTTTTCATCTATACAATACAGCCTTGTCGATGCCCAGTAAATAGTAACAATAATCACAATACAATTGATATGAAAAGCCAGGCCCTCTCTATCATTTTATTGCATTTCAGACAGGAGCAGCTATGTGGCACTTTAATCTTCTAGGGTTTTCTCTGCTCTTATCTCAGAAAATCTGGCCTGGAGATTAATCTGTGTTCCCTGTGTTCTCATGAGGAAGTTTATGTGTGAGGGCCTATGTATTGCTATTCTTGGAGGTTGTTTCCAGTCCAGGTTCTGTTTCTCTAGCCTAGAGGAAGGAACTGCTGTAAACCTCACATTGTTTCCAACTCACTCTCCTGGGGGGTTTTGTTTTGGTCTTTTTCCTGGAAAGATTCTTTTCCTCTTTGACCCCATGATTTATCTCTGTCTCAGAGACTCTTTCTGATTTGGGTCTAGCTTTGACAGATGAATCTATTCACCTGATTCTCTGCTAACTCTTTGTCTTAGAGAAATTGGTCTTTTCATTTTCAGGCTCATTCAGAAGAATCTAGAATTTATAAAAATTGGGCCAGAGGTTTTCAGTTCAGATGTTGAAGGAAGCTGAGAAGACGAACTGTAGTCTCTTTTCTCCTGGCCTTTCCTTTTTTTTCTGATTATACTAAGGTAGACTTTAAGTTTTTTTGTTTTTTTTTAAAGATGTCTTAATTTATGCTTACAGAACTAGGGTACAGGCCAGAGGTGTGGTGGGTAAGAGGATTCACCAGAGACAGAGTGGGGAGCAGAACAGGCAGATTGACAAAGTACACTGCTGAGGGGAGCAGTGGGCAGGTCAGAAGAGGTCTGCCACGCCATGTGGGTCAGCTCCCTGGCTGGGGATCGAACTCATGCTTCAGTGGCTTCAGAGATCTTCATAATGCGGTGCTTTTACCTGTTGTGCCACCAGAGACCTTCATAATGCGGTGCTTTTACCTGTTGTGCCACCAGGGAGAGCCCAGACTTGAAGTTTTAAATACTCAGACTTTGGCTCTCCCTGGTGGCAAGGCGGGTTCAAGCGCAGCACTGAGAAGCTAAAGCCACTTCCATATGAGTTCGATTCCCGCCTACCCTGGAGGTGACCACATGGCATGGCAGACCTCTCCTGACCTACCCGCTGCTCCCCTCAGCAGTGTACTTTGTTGATCTGCCTGTTCTGCTCCCCACTCTGTCTCTGGTGAAGCCTCTCACTGCCCCTGAGCCTCTGGCCTGTACCACAGTTCTGTATGCACAAATACATCTTTAAAATAATAAATAAATAAATAAATAAATACTCAGACTTCCTTTAGATGGAGTATATAGCATTTTTTTCTTTGCAGTGTAAGCTTACTTAGTACCCAGTGTACACAGTATCCAAGATTTATAACATCGGATCACATGGACAGAAAGGCACATAATCTTCCCTCAATAAACAGCTCCTCCACATCTAAATATCTTCTCCATTCATGTGATCTGTTAGCCTTTTTCACACTGTTGTGCCTGATCCCCCATTTTTCTTTTGTTTTATGTGCTTATGTGACAAGCAAAGTAGAGTTCTCTGTCTGTCAGCTCTCAGACTTAATTAGATTGACTTCTTTCTTCCAGGTCTGCAGAAAGCTTCCTGTTGTAATCATATTTCTTCTTTTCAGTTACTAATGCTGCCTACACTGTGGCTCTTTCAGGGTGATGGTTGCCCAAGATAGCCTCCTTAGTGTTGTAAGAAAATCTTCTGTTCCTTGGTCACACAGCCTTTTAATGTTAATTTTTCCTTTCCTTGTTCTTTTTTTTTAAATTTATTGATGCATGTATAAGAGCTGGGGTGTAGGTCAGAGTTGTGGCAGTAAGAGGATTCACTAGGCACAGAGTGGGGAGCAGAACAGGCAGGTCTACTGAAATACACTGCTGAGGGGAGCATCGGGTAAAAGAGGAGAGGTCTGCTGGGCCATGTGGGTCAGCTCCCTGGCCAGGGATCGAACTCGTGCTGCAGTGGCTACCAATAGCTTCGTAGTGCTGGGACTTAACTCCTTGCGCCATAAGAGAGGCCCCTCTGCTTGTGCTATAAGTATTGGCAGTATTTTCCTTATTAACCCCAGCCCTTCCCCCTATCCATTCTTCTCTTCTTGTCATCTCATATTTTTGGACTGTTTTAGAATACAAAATTTATGACCTTGGTGTCAGCTGTGCTCTAGGCTGTCATTCTTTCCAGCCATATCACTAACTCTGCCCAAAAGGCTGTTGGGAACCTGGGGGGTAAAGGAGCCGTGACCGGCTTTCCACCGGGTCTGATTGCAGGTCATGAACATGCAGTGCACAGGGAACCTGGACCTGATCCCTTTGCGGGGACGGCGCCGCAGGAGGTCAGGAGACCTCCCCCGGCCTCCCCCAGCCATCGGCCTACAGCCCCGGGCTGTGTCCACCACTCACCTGGCGTCCTGCACACAGGTGTCCTTCCCTACCTCATCTTCTTCTCCTGCCTTTTGGGATCTGGGGACTCAAATCTAGGTGGGGTGTGTGTGTGTGTATTGGGGGTTGTGTGACTAGGTCCTTGTGACCTTTTTAGAAATCTCTTCCATGTCGCCAGGAGTGGAGGGATGGGCTTCTTTGTTCAAATAAGAAACTGAGTATTGCAGCAGTGGCCACACAGTCCCATAGAAGGAAGAGAGGGTGACCAGACTATATTTCTTATTGTAGCTGAGTTCATGTGATTGACTTTCTGAACCCTGCAGAGGGACAGCTAAGATTAAGGAACCCTGTTCTCCTGAGAATTGAGAATGGTTGAATAATGATTTCTCAGATTTGTGGGGTCAGGTATCTTGAAAATAGAAGTGCTCTCTGTCCCTACACAAAGTACTTTCTCGGTGCCATTTTCATTCTTCTTCCTCCATAAAAGTCCTTCTATTCTTCCATTCTTTCTGACGCAACTTGGCTTTGTAGGGGCAGGAATTCAGGACCTGGGTTTTAAGAGTTCTCAGTGGAGGTGGCAAAATGGTAATCTATAGTCCTTCTTCTCCAGGTACTTTCTGAGACTTCATCCTCAAGGCCTGGTGGCTACCGACTCTTTTCATCTTCACGGCCACCGACAGAGATGAAACAGAGTGGCCTAGGTATGGTTCTTCATCATCTCTTACTTGTTGTTGGGACGGGGTGTCTGTCTGTTCTTCAGAGTTTTATTGTGGGAAACCTTAGTCGTGGGAGTTGGGGCCCTCCAGCCCATGGAACTGTCAGTGGATCCAGGGAAGAGAAATTGGGAGAAGCCATATTTAGCTGTGAACTTTGATCCCAGATGATTGCTACCAATCCAGAAAGGCATCTTTTGACTTTCTATACCAACCCCCCCCCCCCATTCCTCTGGCTAAAGGGCATTTTTCTGGCTTCCCCTCTCATTCCTTATCTGTCCCTCCACTCTAGCCCAGACCTGAAGGGGCCATGGAGACTCTGAATCTTCAGAGTGTCTGAGACAAAGCGAAAGAGGTACTTGTGACCGTAAGAGTCAGGGTCCTCATCTGGAGAACTTGTGCCCTGTCTTCCTCTGGGATCTGTGTTTATTACAGCCCTGTGCTGGCCCCTCCTAACTCCAGGCTCTCCCCTTCATCCCCTCCTAATCCTGTAATTTTTTTTCCTTCCTTCCTGAAAATTGAGGGACAAATCTGAGACTGGTGTAGTGGCGAGGCTTCTCTCAGGACTTTGAGGGAATGTCTCTTGATTTTTTTGATTCCTGGAGAGGGGTGGAGAACATCATTCAACCTTTCCTAAGAACACAGACTGCAGGAAGGACCAAGCCTCAGAGGGTATTGTATTCTTTGGGAGCAGGGGAGTGGTCCATGGGAGGGGCTGTCTCTGATCACAGTGCCTTGGGGTCAGTCACTACAACTGCTGGTTAGAGATAGTCCTGTGGGCTCTGGACTTGGTTCCCTATCTTTCTGTCTTGTCCTATTTATCCTTTCCATTTAGCTACTTTCATTTTTCTGTTTCCTTTGTCCTTGGCACTAATATCCTAGCCCCCAAATAGTCAGCATTTAGACTAGCAAGAGAGAAGATTTTGGTAACTTTTCAGACTAATTTTATGGAAATAGGTTGCCTTTTAGATCCCTGAAATGAGGTAGATGTTTTGGGGGTGAAAAAAGTAAGTGACAAAATCTAGCTCTGTAGTCTGGACTTCTTTTCCAGAAACAATAAAAACTGGTAGGGTAGAAAAGAGGATTGTGTGTCTGGTCCAGTTAAGTGGGAGTGCTATCAAGAATAAGACAGAGTACTGGTAGACAGATGGCTGGGGTAAGGTAGAGACTACCCTCTGAGTTGATCTGAGGACTGGGCAGAGCAGGATTGGCAGAACTACACAGAAAAATTATTCATCAGAGGAAGTAAATGTAGAACAAAACTTGGGGTGGTCTGGGATGGAGCCAGCTAGTTTTAGCTTCTCTGAAGAAAAGCAGACATATTTAGCAACACTTATTACTATTTAGCAACACTTATTACTCTCTGGAACAGCATCCTAAAGGCTATTTGAACTTAAAATGTAGAAGTTCCTTCATAGAAGAGCAGTTTTGAATTCCAGGGAGGAGATTATCAACCATCTGAGCTTTTTGGTTTTTGTGGTAACCCTGAAATCCAGGGAGCCCTGAAACCATGGCCCATCTTTGTGTGCTCAAGGGATACTGATCTCCTTTCCACTCTATCCATCTCCTTTATGAATGTTACGGATATTGGATAAGTTGAACTTGGAAATAGGGGGAAATTCTACAAACACAGTGTCAGCCTGGTCTCTTCCCGCACACACTGTCCTCATTGTGGCTGTAGTAGGAGAGGGGACCATGGAATCCCAACCCTACTCTTGATCTGATATTTGTGACAGTGACTGGCCTGATTTGTGTGCTTTAGAGAATCTTTAAGTATTTATTTACCCCTCTGGTAAGCAGTAGAGTTTTCTCTGAAATTGCTGCAAGGGCATCTGCTTTGAGCATAGCACTTGCAAAACAATAAACTTTCAAGAATAGAGAAAAACAAGTCTTTATGTTGTTGTTTTCTGCTCATCAATCCCTCCTCCTGAGTAGAGTGTGGGGCACATAGTAGGCATGTTCTGCATATAATCACCTGACTTTTCACATGCCTTTGAATTTGTGCCCATCTTCTTCAAAATGAATGCCCTGTTTCTTCTTGATTGAAAAGGAAAAGATGTATTTTCTAAAAGAACACAGTTGACTTCAGAGTCAGGAGATCTGGGTTCTTGTGCAGCTCAGCTTCTAATGAATTGTATGATTTGAGCAAATTAGATTTCCTTTTGAATCTCAGTTTCTTCATCTCTAAAATGAGAAGGTTGAACTAGGTGAACTTTGAGTCTTTCCTAGTTTTACAGATCCAGTGAATTTCATACTTTCTTTCTTGAGAAAGATTAAAAGACCTGAAGGAGGGCAGAAGAGTGCAAATGCTATATGAAAAACTTGGGAAGAATTAGAAGAATTTAGGATAACTTGGAACTTAGAAGAATTTGACGTTTGAGCTTTGTGTTCAAACTTGGTCTCTAGCTTCAATCAAAGCTCTTTTCTTTTAAACTGTAAGGGATTATTAGATTCTTCAAACCCTATCTATACCCAGGGTCAGGAAGGCTGAACTATATCTAGGGAGATGGGGAGGGGATGGGAGTGTTCTTTTAGTATTTCTGAGTGCCACCTGGAGCACATAGACTGTGCCTCTTAGTAGCTTTGAGTCCTCTAATGTGACTAACCCTGTAATTGTAGCAGCTTCTGTATCTGCCCTGTAGATTTGCAGGAAAATGCCCACTTTGCTTGCCCAGTGTGGCTATGGGCAATAGTGAAAACTGTTTGTGGTTATGTGTAGCGCCCCTTGGTGGTGGCTCTGAATGGCTATGTGTATGTGTGTTGGCGTTGTCTTGTGAAGTTGTATTTACTTCTGTGTAGTCATTGCAGCTTTGCATAGCTACTAATATACTCCCGGCTTTGCAGGCTCACAATGCACAGGGTTGTTTAGCACCACTGTGCTGGGCGGCTCGTCCAGTGCCCCGAATCTTCAGGACTACGCCCGCAGCCATGGCAAAAAGCTACCACCTGCCAGTCTGAAGCACCGAGATGGTATGTGGGTGGGTTTTGGGGGCAACTCTTTTCTTCATTTGTCCCCCAGCAAGGATGCAGCTCAAGAACTATACATGCTTAAGAAGGCACAGACATTAGCCTTATAACAAGGTTTCTTCACAAATTGTAGAGGGGAAAAGGAGACAAGACCCCCTGCCCCCTCCATTTGCATTCCCTCTTTCATACAAGTACTACTTATTTTTGCTTATCCCTTCATAATCTCCCACATATAGCCCTGCTGCATCAATTAACTCCACCTTTGTATTCTTTCCTGGATTCTGGCCTATAGGGTAAGGACCAAGGAGAATGATCCATGGTCAGGAAGTATGCAGTGAAAGCTTGATTGAAATCTAGGTGGGGATGTTGCTCAGCTAAGATGCTATGGCAGAAAAGATGATATAGAATGAGGTTGGGAGAAGGGATACAAGTTTCTACAAAGATTTTATTCCCAAATGATCCAAAAAAAAGGATGTGATGGTAAAATTAGGGGTGTTTGTGGGGTCGTGTAGTGATCGAGATGGCGCATGAATTCCTAAGAGGAGATTATACCAAAGAAAAAGATTGAAATGCAGTAGTGAGGGATCTAAGGCACGGGAAAGGGAGCAATTTATGTAACTAACTGTAAAAGAGCAGGGTATATTGTGTTCAAATTTCAGAGCAGAGGGTGGGGTGGGGTGGGTATAATCCCCATGCTGTCTTTTCTCCCCAGAGCTCTTGTTTGTCCCGGCCGTAAAAAGATTTTCTGTGTCGTTTGCAAAGCATCCGACTAACGGTACGTTTGCTTCTGACTCAACATCATTCCTCTTCACCCATGTCATCTCCAGATACTTAACCTCTGAGTTCTGGCACTAACTTTGCCTCTTTTTTCACTGTGTTGACACCTCGCTGTCTCTGAGTGAACCACTAAGTGTCCCCACAACTGGACATATCCTTTGTGACAAACCTTAGCCTGGCTGCAGCCTGGCTGCCCATTCCTGTGGTAACTCAGGGTCTTACTTCCATAGTCACTGTCATCATTATTGTGTCATGTTTTTCAGCAGTCACCAAAACATGAATTATTCCACTCCCTTTCCTGTGACATTACTGCTGGGCTTTGTGCAAACACCATAACGATTCTCCTTAGGAAGAGAAGACTGTTTCTTAGGATCATCCCCATTTCTCTCTCTTTTTATTTTACTCCCAGACCTCAGCATATATAATTTTGATCTTGCTGTTTTTTTTCTTCAACACTTTTGTTGGGCTGGTTGACTACTTGGTTTCCCTTTTGGAGCAGTGCTGCGGCTTCCAGCTCTCAAGCCTGCCATAAGGGTATTGGTCAAGATTGTCTCCCATCTCCATATTCTTGTCTCCTGCCATTGTGTGTATTTTGTGTGGCTCTTGTGCTCTTGACATCTGCTTTATGTTATTACTAACCTAGTACCTGGGCCTAGAAATCAGGAGCCCAGGCTCATGTGGGATACAAGAGAAAAAAGAGGAGTAGGGGGAGTAGGCAAAGGGAAAATGGTGTACCTTAAGATTTTGCATGTGGTTTTTACATAGCCCTGGCCTACCTGTAACTGCTGTCTCAGAGAAGATTGGTGAAGAGTTGGGAGGCCTGCTGGGGACTCTCGAGGAGCTTAGGAATGAATACTCTTTCAAGAATATAGAAGAGCTGGGTCTGCCCACACTAAGGTGGGAGAGTTTGTAGATCTGTGTAAACCAAAAACTCAAGGATTGTGGCTTCTGTTCAGTATGGGAGAAGAACCCAGGGCTCACTCCCTGTTTTATGCTTCACATCTTTAGTTTTTCTCTGTGTTGTTTCATGCCTTCAAGGTAAATCCAATTTGGTAGATATGGCCTGCTTTTCTCTAAGAATTAATACTCATCGAGGGAGGTAATTTTAACCTGATTTCCCTGACTGGAAAAACCTCTAGGTGCCGATTCCCTGCTCCTTAGTCAGTGGAATCTGCTAGATTTTAGCCCAACCAGACCATATCTCTCCCCTAGGCACTGCTGAAATCTCTCCTGAGGTTGACTGGTTATCCTTGCTAAGTTTATACTCCACCTCAATCCTTTTTGTACCTGTGACAGGAGCTCCTCATTCAGAGTTGTATGGCTGTGCCTACACGTTTGCCTTCAAGCTCTTCTGGCCTTTACTTGCCACAGTCATCTCCAGAGAGAATCACTTGCACCAAACCCAACCCGACAGCCTGGAATTTGTACTTACGAGACATATAGTTTAGAGTACAGAGTATGGGCCCCTGATGTAGAGCTAAATCATCCATCTCTTAGTATTTAGACTCTGTGAGAAAAGACCTAAATTCATAAAACAGATCCTCAAGCCTATATATGTTGATTCCTGAAATTTGGTTAGCATCCTCACCAGCTGAAGAAAATATGAATTAATTATTTTATCAAAAGGAGGAGAGGAAAAAAGACCTAAACAAGTCAAGGCTAATGTAGGAGAACAAATTTGAGGTTTCCTCCAATACCCCCTTCCATAGGGGTCTTTTGGCCTTTGTTCTTTTTGTACTTAAATTTGGGGGCTAAAATACTTGAGAAGCCAGAATCTGGGATATGCTTATTGGGAGAGGGGAAAATGTAGGGCTTTTATTTCTCTTGTTGAAGATTATCTAGATTTAATTCAGCTATCAGGACAACATGAGGGCTCTACCCATGACCAAATCTTGCTTGACTGACCCAGCAATTACGGTGGCTGCTCTGAAATTATTTGTGGGTGATGAGCCACAACAGCTTATCATTCCATCATCACCACCTCCTTACCATGATGTCTGGCTTAGAAATAGCACAGACCTCATTTTGGAAAGGAGGCAAGGCAATGTGACCTCCTCGCTTTGATAGGAAAACATCTCCCACTCCATCCTTGCCTCTATTTCTTTTAAGCTTCTATCACGTTCTATGACTATATCAAGTGTACAAGTATGGTCCATCACTAAATTACACGCAAATTGCACCAAACTGAACTAATACAATGGGAAAGAGACTGTGAATCATCCTCATCCAGAATGTCAGAGTGTCCCCACTGGATTTGCCAAACCCATAATCTTGTAGGGACCAACATAACTGTGACTATTGATACAGTTAGTACTGACCAGACTAGGCTGGATAGAGCTGAAACCTCTCCTGACTTTCAAATTAAAGTCTCCAGCCATAATCTCATGGGCTCACCATGTGGAACCAGTTCTGGCATGGAAGTTCTGAGCAGTCATCCTCAGCTACCTTGATTCTTCCTTCTATCATCAGGTCTTAAATCCCATACCTTTCCCCCAAGATCTTTTCCCTACTGTTCTTCTTATAACCCTTTTCACTGCCTTCGATCTTTTGTGAGTGGATTGCATCTATCCACAAAGTTTGCCAAGCAGCTAAAATAGTGAGCAGTTCAGGATCCAAATTTCTCCACTCACTAAACTGAATAAAGTGCAGTTAGACTCACTGGCAGTGGGAAGAAATTTTTAAATTCTCTAACTTTTGGCTTCTGTAATAGATAGTGTTTCCAAAGTCCTGAGATTTAGCAAATAGTATTTTAAATATGTGTATTTGAGCAAGAGTAAAGGATAATTAATCAAGATTGGCATTTTCACAGATTGATTCCATTTTACACACTCTGTTTTAAAAGGACTCCTATACCTGGTTTCCTGCCAATCTCCTATGAAAGCTGCCTAGTTCCACCAGCCTTATCTGTGGCTACAGCCTTACCTGTGGCTATCTTATAGTCTAGTCCAGAGGGCCTGTCCTTAACCTTTAAGGGTCCTTTTAGCTTAAAGCTTTATCTTGATAGCCTGAACCATTCTTGACCCACTTCTCTGAGTGACCTTCATCGCAACCCCAAACTCATGCCTTTTTTTTCTGAGAAGCAGGCCCTAAGTAGGGTTTACCCAAAAAGATCAGGGACCCTGGAGCCAATCCACGCCCCCTCAGAATATAACTGCTGTCCGCAAACCCTGACTGAATTTCGTGCAACGAGAAAGGAGAAGGCCTTGTTGTATGATGAGTTCTCATTAGCCTCTTCTTGTAGACTCACTGTGTGAGGCCAGCATTCTTCTTTCCTGCAAGATATACCCAGGAAAGCAGACCATCTCTGCTTCTCTCTTAGCCCATCTTGGAGCTGAGTGGTCCCCACCTCTCAGTAATGCTTGTGCCAGTCAGTACCCCCTCAATGTCTCTCCCTCTTCTTTTTCTTTATCTTTGTGCTTCCTGCCGTGATCCCCCCACCCCCTCCAGAGCTGCTGGATGACCAGCACCCTGTGGTCCGGTTGCTGCGCAGTTTTTCCTCAGACTGCTCAGGGGGCCGGCCAGTCTCCTTGGATGCCACGCTGGCGCATCACCTGCACCAGTGCTCCTACCACCTGCGCCTCTTCCGGAACTGGCTGCGCTCAGGCCAGGATGACCCCGAGTGCCTCTACGGTACCCCCTGCCACCAAGCTGGCTGCTGCCACTACCCTGGCTGGGACTGACTGCTTTGCTTATTGCATTTCTGGCAGGAGAGAGCACCTGTTCCTTTCTCCTGTTTACCCTAGGTCATGCGACTTGCATTTAGTTGCTTGGATGGGATTGGGGCCAGACTGCCTGGTAGCTATAGCATTGGCTGCTCATCCCCTTCCTGTTCTCCTTCCTCACTGCCTCCTAAGGTTACCCATTCCCAGTTCTGTTCAGTACAGGAACAGTCTCTTGCCCTGGAATCTGTTCTGATCTCTATAATCCTCTACTACTACCATCTTCAAATCCAAATATTTTTCTAGTCACACTGAGGAGCTAACGACTCTATCTCTCCTGACCTCCCCACTTGAGTATAGGGGGATATTAAGGCACAGTAGAATCTTTGAAGCAAGCAAGGGCTAGAAGTTAGACAATCAGGTATAATCTTTTTGAATTATAGGTTATAGTCACAGATGAACAGAAAGCTATGTCTTCTGTAGATGTTGCTGTCCTACCTACCGTTATCCCCTTTGAGTAGGTATAGAGGAGGCATAGGGAAGACTGGGGACTGAGGAAAGAAGTGGAGATGTGTGCTTCTTGAACCTCCAGTAGGGACATATTTTTCATCAACAGTCCCTAATATTAGGGCTACACAACCAGGTTTACCCTTCACGCTACCTGTAATGAAGCTGTTGGGTCCAAAGTAGAGAATCAGTAGCTACTCTTTTTTCTGGGGGTGGTGGGGGGGCTCCTCACTTTACTGATGGAATAGACATACTAGCAAGTCTGGGGTTTTCCCATGAGAGAAGAAGGGAATAGCTTTGACGTGATAGAAATGACCAAGAAAGAACCTCCATCCCCTAGCTTGTTCATGCATGTGATTTTCCCCGGCTGAGCTTCATGTTTACTGCATGTCTTCAAGCTTGCTTTCAGATATTCTAGCCTTTCTACCTATATCCTAAATCTGCATGAACCCTTCCTCAGATTTCATGCCCTCTTCCTTAATCTGGTTCTCTTGTATGTGATCCCTGAAATATACTGTTTCTTCCCAGCTCCATGACCTCCCTATTTCATTTTAGACCAACAATTCCACCCCTTTCCTCTGGACGTTTGTTTTATAACCCCAGAAAGAATAAGCAATGTAGCTGTTTCCCCTACCTATTGGGATTCTATTGATTTTTCTGTGGGACTTGCAGGGTCTCCATAGGTAGAATGAGAGGTGATTTGATTCACATGGAGGCCTCAGCAGCACAGACTTTTCAGGGAATCTAGAGGTGAGAGGAACAGACTCCTATTGGAGTTCTAAATAATTCCCTCTCCTGAGACTCTTGGGTACCCCATACTCCAAATGCCACGGACTCTTCTGGTGGCTGTTAGGGACTCTCCACTCTTCCTTGGCCAGTTGTGGTATATCTGGCAAGAATAACATTGACTTTGCCCATCTCTTTTCTAACAGGATTTGAAGGGTGCTCCATGGTGCCTACCATCTACCCCCTGGAAACACTGCATAATGCCCTTTCCCTGCGTCAAGTGAGTGAGTTCTTAAGCAGAGTCTGCCAGCGTCACACTGATGCTCCAGCACAGGCTTCTGCAGGTATGGGAATATTCTCATCTTGTGTCCCTATCACTGCTTACACTTCTATACTTCCTCGAAAATAAATAATAAGTTTAAAAGATAGATATTCCCAAAATACACAAAAGTGACTTAAGAAATGTTTAATTATAAAAGCAAACTCAGTATCGTAGATGTCTTGCTCCTTCCCAAGTCAGTTTGTAAATTTAATGTGATCCAATGAAAATACAGCTATTTTCTAAAGTCAGACACACCAATTCTGAGGTTCTCATTGAAAAATAAACAAGAGGGGCCTCCCTGGTGGTGCAGGGGATTAAGTCTCAGCACTCTGAAGCTGTCTGAAGCCACTTCAGAGTTCGATCCCCGGCCAGGGAGCTGACCCACAGGGTGCAGCAGACCTCTGATGTCTCACCTGCTACTCCCCTCAACAGTGTATTTCAGTTGATCTGCCTATTCTGCTCCCCACTCTGTTTCTGGTGAATCCTCTCACCCCCATGGATCTCTGACCTACATTCCAATTCTTCTATGTGAAAATTAAAAAAATATATAAAAGCAGCCATGTATACTTGAAAATTTGCACTCATCTAGGGAAGGACGCATGTACAAAAAAGATGTGCGAAGACCCTATCCTTTAACCTCTCGCTGGTTCTAGACTCAGCACAAGCAGAAGTGAAGGTTTAGGAGGAGTTAGAAATAGTCTCGCAATGTCTTGAAGGAGTCTTCAATGTAAAACTAATGTGCAAAGATTGGGAGAGCTCCCCTTCCTTCTACTTCTCTTCACTTCCTTTTCCTCCTCATTCTTTCCACTTCCTCTTCCTTCCCTTCTTTTGGCTCCTAGCATCAAGGAAGTTCTTGTCCAAAGCTGAACACAAGCTATAGGAAAAGAGACTTCAGAGATTACACATATCAAAAAAAAAATTTTTATAGAAGATAAAGATTCTTCTTTATTTATGGAAATAGTTTAGGAAAGCTGCTAAACTAATTACAGTAGCCCATAATAAAACAGACTCTAAAGTTTCATATGCAATAGCAAAAGCCTGAAAGTTTCTCCCCTAACTTCCAAAATAAGACAAGGACACCCACTTTCACCACTGCTGTTTAATACTAGACTGGAAGTTACAAGCAAAGCAGTTAGGCCAAGGGGAAAAGAAGCATCAAAATTGGAAAGGAGGAAGTAAAATTATCTCTATTTGTAGAAAGAAGAGAAAGTCCTAGAGAAAGCAAAAAATAACAGAGAACCTTTACAACTAATGAATAATCTCAGAATAGTTGTGGGGTTTGGGTTCAACTCAGAAAAATCAGTTGTGTTTGTGTATACCAGAAGCAGATAGTTCAAAAAGGAAATTAAGAAAATAGTACCTGGACATCTTGGTGGTGCAAGGGGTTAGGACCCAGCAGTATGAGGCTACCTGGTAGCCATTGCAGCAATGTTTAGATCCCAGGCCAAGGAACTGATCCACATGGCAGATTTCTCCTGTCTCACTCGCTGCTCCCCTCAGCAGTGTATTTCAGTCCGTCCACCTGTTCTACTCCCCACTCTGTCTCTGGTGAAGCCTCACCCCTCCCCCCACTTTGGCCTATACTCCAATTCTTGTATACATACATAAATCTTACAAAAAAAAAAAAAAAAGAGGGTATTCCCTGGTGGTGTAGCGGGTTAAAGCACAGCACTATGAAGCTATCCATAGCCACTGCAGCACGAGTTCAATCCCCTGCCAGGGAGGTGACCCACATGGCGCAGCAGACCTCTGCTGTCTTGTCCGCTGCTCTGCTCAGTAGTGTATGTCAGTGCATCTCGCTGTTCTGCTACCCACCTGTCTCTGGGGAAGCCTATCACCACCCCCCCAACTCTGGCCTGTTCTTATATCCATAAATAAATAAATCTGGGGCTCTCCGTGGTGGCGCAAAGGGCAAATCTCTGCACTGTGACATTCTCAGGAGCCACTGCACATGAGTTCAACTCCCAGCCAGGGAGCTGACCCACATGGTGAGGCAGACCTCTCCTGACCCACCCACTGCTCCCTTTAGCGGTGTGTTTCAGTACATCTGCCTGTTCTGTTCCCCACTCTGTCTCTGTGGTAAATCCTCTCACCTACCACAACTCTGTCCTGTACCCCGGTTCTGTAAGCATAAATAAATAAATCTTAAAAAAAAAGAAAAAAGAAATCTTTAAAAAAAAAAGAAAATAGTACCCCCCCAAAGTTATATCATAATTAACAGTTATATAAATGATTAAAAAGTTAACAAAATTTGGGGGAAAAGAACTAATGTGTTTCTTATAATAAAAAGGGAAAGAGAACAAAACCATTTACAATAGCATCGAAAAGAATAAAATATAAAGGAACAAATTTGGCAAAAAAGTTTAAAGTCCTGTGTACTGAAAACATAATTGATAAGGAATACTTAAATAAATAGAAAGACTGCTTGTTTTCATATAGATGGTATAATATTAAGATGCCAAAACTTCCTGAAGTAATCTGTGGATTATGCGCAATATTGATTTTTAAATTGATATGAAATTGTTTGAGGACCTGACTAGCTAAAAGAAATCTTGACGAAGAAAAATAAAGTTGGAGAACTCACACTTTCTGATTTTGAAAAGTTACAGTAATCAAACAGGAGTACTGCTATAAAGTTAAACATGTAGATAAATGCAATAGAATCAAGAGTCCAGAAATACCCAGGTTTAATCATCCTAGAATACAAAGAGCTTTTAATCAAGAAGAAGACTAAAAGTGTGAATATATATGAAATGATACTCAATCTTCATCATAAGACATACACATGTTAAAACTACATTAAGATATCATGTCTCACCTATCAGATTGGGAAAAAACTAAAGTTTAACACAGTCTCTTAATATGAGTATGGTTAGACATGTAATCCCATACATTGATGATGGGAATATGAAATGCTACAACTATGAAGGGAAATTTTGTAATGTCTCACAGAATCATGGGTACATATCGCTCTCTATGATTCAGTAATCCACATTTAGAATTCTATTCTGAAGCTATTCCTGAACAGAGATGAAATAACATTTGCATAAAGTTATTCATTATGGCAGTCTTTCTTTATCCCTCCTATCTTTCTTTATTTTTGGAAACAACTCGGGATTTTTTTTCAACTCAAGAGTGGTTTAATAAACTGATTATATCCACTCAGTTGAGTACTATATACATTTTTAAAACTGAGAAAAGAAAAGTAAGGAGAATATTCTTTATGTTCTGATATGAAGCAATCTTTAAAGTATATGAAGTAAAAAAAAATGTAGAAGAGTATTAGTAGTTTATAACCTATGTTGTTAGTAAGTAGGGGAAATTATGTAATTGCAAAGGAGAATGCTAAAAGTATAAACCAGAAACTAATAAAAATGATTACCTGATGTCAAAAAATTTAAAATATATATATATATATATATATATATATATATATATAAAAGATTGCCTCTAGACAACAATATGTAAAGAAACTGAAGGCCAGGAAGGAAATGCAGCTTCAGTGAATTTGCCTTTATAGCTTTAACTTGTGAATCTGTGTTTTTCAAAATATGAAACTAAATTAAAAGGTAAGAGAAGTATAACCTAAAATTGTGAAAATACATAAAAGATATTATCCTAACTGTATATCAAAATAGTAGCATAGCCACACAGGGGAAATAATTTTTCAAATAACTTTATAATACTATACCCACAGTAAATTCTTTAGCGAGATAAAAAAATAAAACTTATAAAATAATTTTTATTCTCATTTATTAGTTTAATTGTTAATAGTAATAGACTGTTTTGAAGTATATACATACATCTTAATAAGAGTCATGCAAGTTAGTAATTATATTCCTCTTCTTAGGCATCCAGTGTTTCAAAGTAAGGTAAATAGATACTAGTAGAATTCACAAGTTTTTAAACATGTAATACTAAACTTGCATTGAAAATATCAATATGAATTCTTTTAGTGCTTTTGCTAATATTGTGCATTAGAAACTTCAGCCATGTGCTTAGTCAATAACTGGATCTCAGTCTGTACATATCACTCCTCACTAAAAGCAGTCAGGATTCAGTGGGAAAGTAACTGATTCTTATTCTAGGGCAGTGTTTTTTAACCTTTAAAATAATTACTCCTCCCAAACCTTTTCTCCAGCCACCCCAACCATGTGAAGTTTTAATATCACAGGTAATACTATATATCTGTTTATGTATTGTGGTTATTTGGTGGACCGCAAGCCAGTGGACCATCTTTTTTCACTCTCATCAATAACAGGTTTTGTTGAGAATGAATGGTTTAGGGCAAGAAAAATGCAAGATGGGCCTATGTCATGCTGTAGCAGAAAGCAACACAGTAATCAATACGGCAAGATGTTAGTGTGTTAATGTATTACAAGGAGAGATGAGAACACAGGTGTTGCCAGTTTTTGCATTAGTTCTTAAAGTCACTTTGAACTATTTGAGGGCCCTTCCTGGTGGTGCAGTGAGTTAAAGCACAGCAAGAGTTCAGTTCTTGGTCAGGGAGGTGACCTACATGGCACAGCAGACCTCTCCTGACCTGCCCGCTGCTCCCCTCAGCAGTGTACTTCAGTAGATCTACCTGTTCTGCTCCCCACTCTGTCTCTGGTGAATCCTCTAACCCCCCCACACCTCTGGCCTGTACTCCAGTTCTTGTAGGCATAAAAATAAATGCATCTTTAAAAAATACTATTTTAAAATATTAGTACAAGAAGTTTAAAATATTATTTTAAAATGATTTGTGTGAAGGGGCCTAGGAAATTCTAGTTCTCACCCTGAGTAAGTGTTGATTCTCACTTTAGTTGTCAACTTGTGACTTTTGAATTCCTCATTTTTTTTTTCCTTTCCCCTCTCTCCCCTAACTATCCAGCCCTTTTTGATACTATGCACAGCAACCAGACATCTGATAGCGCATTTTCCCCACCACGAACTCTTCATTCACCTACCCTACAACTTCGGCAACGCTCTGAGAAGCCCCCTTGGTGTAAGTAATTCATTTGGACCTGTTTAGACAAATGCTAAAAGGGATGGAGGGGTTGGTGAATGAGAAACTGATCACAACAGGGAAAAGAAAAGATAAGGGTAGAAAGACCAGGAATAACCAGTTGGGGAAGCTGTCTCATCTGCTGTCTTCAAGATAATGGAAGGATGTAACAATCCCTTGTTACATCTGTCCTCCCTGCCCCCTGTGTCTCTCACTGGAGAGACCACAAAAAGTCACGTCCCATAGAGTACTCTGGGGAGAAAGGGTTTTCATTTTTAGTGAAAATTTGGTTTCTTCAGCTTTCTTAATTAAAGATGACTAGAAAGGAAACCTAGTCATCGAAACCAAACGCTGCTTTTCCCACTTTTTCATTATAATCTCTAGTATATCACTAGTTATTATTGGTAACAATGTAAACAGGAGTCACAAGGAGATTTTAGGGTAGTTGTGGGGAGGGGGGAGATTAGCAGTGGTAATCAGTGGGAAGATAAGACATTGGTGATGGAAAACATCCCTTCCTTATTCATCCTTTGTACAGGAAATAACTGAAATCAAACCTGGCTTTCATTACTTGGATAATATTGAAGCAAATATTCATATTTCGGAAATAATTGTAAATACTTGTAGTTTTGCCTTCTTCAGGCACCCTGTTTTCGAAGAAATTTCTTTCTGATTCCAAGAATTCTCCTGGATTTCAGATTATTCTTCACTTAGCATTCCATTCTACCTTTCTCCTGTAATGTTTAGAGTTTCTGTGTTCCTGGAAATCTTACCTTCCTTTATCTTTTTTTCCTTTGACCTCGTTGCCTGAATCAAAACATTAACTGAAATTAAGACTTTGCTATTTTTGGGTAAATGCAATGTACATTTTTTTTTTTATTTAGTCCTTTGACTCAATAAGGTATATAGCTGCATTGGTGAAGAATTACTATACGATCTGCCTATACTAAGAAAGGCCTTATTGGCCCAAATCATGTTTCTCTCTCCTTTTTTCCCTCTGCCTGAGGCAAGTCTTTTGAGATCCTTCACAGAAAAGAGATAACTGGCATACCTTAAACTAAATGACTGAAACTTTTTAGGATCAGACTTGCCAGTTTTCCCAGATTTTCTTAGATGAGAATATATTTATGTGTTCCTTATTTACACAATCTATCATTATATCAGAGCGCTTTAAAATACGAAGTTACTCTATCATGAATAAATAGGATATCTACAAAGGGAAAAGTAAGTTAATAACCTTTTAAAGGCTAATGAAGAAGTAGAGATTGGGGTAGGAATTGTCCCACAATGTATTTGAATTCTCTTAAGTCTTCATCATACTAAGTCAGGATCTGTAACCATATACACCCCAAGACTTAGAAAGTCTTAACTTTAGATTGATGGAAGGATTTCAGGGTAAAGTCTATGAATCCCAGAAATTATATATAAAAATTAGCGTGACTGTTCTTATGAACATGGGAAGATTTCATTATCATTGCTAAGAGATCAGTGATCTCCAAAACAGTTAATGTTGCCATTTAGAGATTCCATGACAGTCTTCCTTCTAGTAACTAATTTTCTTTCATGCTGTTCTGATTTAGTTTTCCTACATTCTCTTGCTTGCTTGTGTTTTGCCCAGAAATATGTTGGTTGCTTTAAAGAAATGGTTCCTAATAGAAGTTCCATATCAGATTTAATTTGGATTGTATCAATAAAATACATTGCCTCTCCTCCTCTCACCTTTTGACAGCCTTACCTTAACCTACAAATTAGAATCTCTGGAGACAAAGTGTTCATATGCTTCCAAATTAGCAATCAATGCCCATTTAGAGTTGGAATGTGGGTACATTTGCAAAAAAACTGGGTAAAGTGGGCCTTGGCATTCATTCCTGAAGTCAGTGATATGCCTTAGTGTCATTCCTGCAATATACGTTAGACTACAGCAACAATTCTGGGCTTATTTAGGAGTCCTTTTGCAGAACTGAGGGATCATTCAAATCCACTCTCCCCAAGATATGAGTGTCCATCTCTTTTGACTATTTCTTTTGAACTACATATATAGAATAGTCTACTCTTCCAACCTGTCTGATGTGCTCTCCTGACTTTGCTTTTACAGACAGCAGTGGTCCTTCCAGCACTGTGTCCAGTGCTGGTCCTTCCTCCCCTACTGCAGTGGATGGTAACTGCCATTTTGGCTTCAATGATCATCACTCCTTAAGCTCACATGTGACTGAAGACCGTCAAGGTCATGGGCTTCTTCAGGAGACCCCTGGGAATGGAGCCCAAGAGCTTGCCATAGAAGGGGAGCAAGAACCTTTTAAACCAAACCAGTCTCCACAGGAACCATCTGTGGAAACCAGCCAGCCATGCCAGAGAGTTGCTGAGGAGATCAGCCAGTTGTTCCAGGAAGTCCCTGACATCAGCCAGCCATGCCAGGACACCCCTGAAGAAATCAGCCATCCATGCCAAGAGGTCTCTGACATCAACCAGCCATGCCAGGATAACCAAGACCATGTTAATCAGACACATCAGGAGGTTCCTCAGATCAGCCAACCATGCCAGAAGGCTAGCCAGCGGTGCCAGAGTGTCTCTGAGGAAGTTTTTCAGGTTTGCCAGAAGACCCCCGAGGAGGTCAGCCAGCCATGCCAGGGAGTCCCTAGGGAGGTTGGCCAGCTGGTCCATGGATTTCCTATGGGAGTCAGTGACTTAGAAACAGAAATTCTGGTGGAAGTTGGTAAGCCTACCCAAGAGGTCTCTGAAGAACTCAGCCAGCCATGCCAGGAGTTCTCTTTGGAGGTTGGCAGGCTGGCCCAAGAGGCTTCAGCAATCAATCTGTTGTCTCAGAACATCCCTGAGGTTGATAATCCATCCCAAGAGTTACCTGGAGAGGGTGATCTGCAGGTCCAGGAGGTCTCTGATAAGGTTAGTCAGCCTCCCTTAGTGGTCCCTGAGATGACTTACCTGCTACCTGGAGAGGATATTCCTGAAGCCCAGGATCCATGTAATGATCCAAACCCTCAGAGCCACTCTCCACTCCATGACCAGCACTCACCCTTTCCACCAGCAACATGTGATTGATCATTTTCTCATTCATGGTGTCACACTATACCAGCCATTTGAGTTAGCCCCTTTTTCTGCCAGCTAACTCACCTGCCAGCATAAGGCGTTGGGCCTCATTAGAGGTATCCAAGGAAGCACTCCTCTTGGCATGAAGCACACTTGTGCCCAAGCTGGGCTTGGGGAGGAGCCAATTTCATGTTCAAAGTAGCCATTGACTCCTCACCTAGCTTTTAGACTTAAATAAGATTTCCTTCAAGGAGTGGGTTGGTCTATATCCGACCTCCTCAGCGCATCCCAGGGAATCCCAGAGTGTTAAAGGAAATGCCACTTAAATGCTGAAGACACCATATGAGCACAGCAAGTTCAAAACTGGACTCCATAGTCTCCACTTTTCCTGGGGAAATACAATTTCTCAAACTACCCTTAGACCATATGTGCATTCAGGGGGACTTTGTCTTTGCTAGCACTCCTCAAGTGGACCCATGGTGGGTCTCTCTCTGCAATGTTTAGGAAAAAAAGAGAGTCCCCTTTGCAAATAAGCATCAATCATGGCCAGTAATTTTTAGACTGGGCTTGTGGGTATTTTCATATCATCCTTAAGTGTCCTCTCTGCCCCAGTCCTATTCATCTGGGCAACAGCTTCAGAGAAAAAGAGATTGCTATGAAAATTCCAGAATAACTACTTAAAAATGCTTTGGCAGTTCTTGGCCAATCTGTGAAGGTGGGTCTTCTTTTGTTGTGGGGCTGCTTGGTTTAGGAGATGAGATAGTAGAGAGAATCACATTCTATTTTAAGCAATCAGCAAACATCAATACTGTACAGACATGAACAAAGAGCAAATATACATATATATGTATATATTACATACATATAATATATATGTATATACACATAACCTATACATGCACATATACATATATATATATTTCTGTAGGAGGGTTAGGGACAGATTTGGCCAAAGACCAAACACTCCAGGGTCCCCAAGAGGTTTACCCTAATATTGTGTTTGGGGGGCCAGGTGCGATTATGAAGCTTTTCCCAAAGATATGGGGGTGAACAAGAGGGGTAATGTGGTCATTGGAATGGGAGGCCGGAACATTATGAGTGCTCAATAAATTTGAAATAATGAGAATGGTAGTGATGGTGATAATGTCCTTGAGAATTCAAGAATGAAGATGACTGTAAGTCAGTCATATCTGTGTTGAATTAATCTGAACCACTCAAAGAGACTGTAGATAAACAGAAAGGGGGCTATAAAAACAAAGAGATCATGAGGTCCCTATGGCAATCAGCCCACCATTGCAAGAAGTCTTAAATGTTGCAGGGGAGAGAGGTTCTTTCTCTGTGGAGCACCAGAAGAGGTATATACCTTCCCACCAGATTACTTGAAATAACCCCTTACTTTTTCATTTTTATATCTGTAGTGTTAGGAGTTGCTATAAAAGGGCTATGCTCTTTATTTACCCCTTGACATTATTACATTAAGAAATCCCACAAGACTGGAAGGATTCAAATACATCCCTTTCCACATTGATGCATTCACATTTACAGCCTGGCCTTTGTCATGACCCTAAACTGGAAAAGGTTTCATCGTGGGAATGAGAGGTTTTTCAACCTCATTAAGCCCCTCCGTTCCTTACCTCTTTGGTGGTCCAGTCCCCTTTTGAAGCTTTCTAATGTTGGTTATCAGGCCTTCACTTCTTGATCCATTGTATATAGATCCCCTTTCCAGGAGTCTCCCTGCCTTTTCTCCCTTCTCAGACCAAATCAAATGTATGTCCCCACCCTATTCAGTATACTCCAGTATTCTTACCCGTTTTTAGAAGATATGCTGGTTCCCTATCTCTTTCTCTCCCTTTGCCCACTCTATCTCCTCTGGGTTTCCTGGGTCCTGGAAGTGCTTCCAGTTATTGAAGGCACTGAGATAAATGACAATGCTGGGAGAAGCAGAGGTAGAAGCCGGGGGCCCAGCAACTAAGCAATGTGTGGAGTCAGAAAACGCCTAAACAGCACTACCGCATCTGTAATGAACTTCATTTATTGTTAGAGTTGGAGGCGGCTCTGTTACAGCAGCTGGGAACTATAGCAGGGAAGTGTGGGGGGAGGAGCAGAGCACAGCAGCACCGGGAGGGTGGGAGCTAAGAACACAAGGCGGGCTCATTTTGGTTTCCACAGTCATTTGGCAGAGAAGCCAAGCCCTGATGAGCAAGCGTCTGGATTTCTCGGTCCAGCAGTAGTCTGGCAGGGCTGCTCATAGACTTGCTTGGGGTGAGGTCCTCATCTGGGGTAGTATTTTCGGCCTGTTTTCTTCTCACTCAGTAGGACTCAAGCTTTAGCTCAACTTAGCCTCCCTCTTTCTCTCCTCCCTCTCCTTTCCCCAAGTCCTCTGGCATGGCCTCCACCTCCCAGTTCCTTTATCCGAGAATTTGGGGCTGAAAAGCAGCCTACGTTCCCATTTCAGCTGCAAGATGGCATAGTGGAATGTTGGGGAGTCACACATTGCTGGGGTGTCATGTTGGGATGTCAAGCAGTGCCTTATTTTTAACCCATTACACACCAGGCCACAGCAGATGACCACATGCAGAGAAGCCAAGCAGGGGATGAGAAGGGGTCAGGATAATTGGAATGGGTGGGTGAAAACTTCAAACGGTCAGGGAACTTGGAAGAACTGTGGGATTGGGACTGGGCTCTCCTTGCCCCTTTGTGCTGCCCATTAGGCCTGTTCCGGGCACAACTCTAGATGTGAATGGTATGAAGCAGGGGTTAGGAGGATACGCTCCTTTCTTCTCTCACCAGTCTATTGGTAAAAAGAGCTTCAAGTTTTGGATTGAGACATTCAGATACATAGGATATAGTGGGACAGTGAAGCAGCAGTTTTCCCTTAGAACCCTGCTGGAACCCAGATGCTGGTGGGTACAGGGATTGGCAATGGACGAAAGGATGCAGCTCTGGGCACCTCACTGTCAGTATCCTGCCCCCAGGTCATATAAATTACTATTGGAAATCTTTCCTTGGGGTGCTAAATAATAGGTTGCAATAAAGAGGTCCCTGGGGTTGGGGATATGATCTCCATGAGAGAGGAGGTGGTTCTCTCCTTCCTAACTCCCCACCAATGCCAGTTTTTGGCAGTGTGAGGAGAGGGTGTCACTGGGGTTCTCGGGTGTCAGATAACTTCCTACCATAACTTTGTACCCTCCCCCTGTACTACCTCTGTTACCTTTGGTTTAGAGTTCTCACACATATGGATGAGGGGGAGAGACAACTCCTCCCATTTAGCCCAGCCCAAGTCCTCATAAGACATCCTGACCCTGCCATCCAGCCCCCCCACCCCCAGCAGCTCCCGTCTCCCTCAACCCCAAAGGACACAGCAGTAGCCATACTCTTAAGGGAGCTGGGGAGCAGATCCTTGGGGAAGGGAGAGTGGCTCTTTCAGAACTCAATCTTGCAGGCAGGGAAGGACTCATCCTGCATGACCACAGTGCTGCTGCTAGCCAAGACCAGTACGTTCAGTTGCTGTTGCTGCTCATGAGTCTGCTGGTACCACTCACGAGTTACTTCTGTGTCGTGAGTAGGGATCAGAGTCACCTAAGAGGGAGACAAGACATGCCTGATATGAGAATGTGAAGAGGAGGTAAGTCAGGGGGATGGGATAGCTGATAGTCTTGTGAGTAGTCCCCTGCCCATAGCAGACTCAGTCCTTTTATGAACCGAGACTGTTTCCCTATTTCTTCGACTGAGGTCTGACCACACTTCCTCCCTGATGCCTCTTTGCCACTCACCTGAAGATTCTCCCCCCACTGGGCCTTGCCTTCCAGTAGGGCATCCAGCACAGCCCGGCTTGGTTCACCATTGGTAGGGTCATTCCCACTGACCACATAGTAGGATGCACGCACTCGACGGAAGAAGTCAAGGTCAGCAGTCTTCCCACTGCAGTGATTTGGGATATAGGCGAGATCCACATATACAGGGGGTCCAGAGCTGCCCTTGGAACCTGAGGCTGCTGTAGAACAAGCCAGGACTCATTATTGAGGAAAACAGGACAGACGCAAGCTTCTCCCTCCTACCTCTACCCCTGGAGCCTTTGATCAGCCACACCCAGTTCAAACCCACAATCCCTGATTTCTCACATTGTACTTACTGGATCCTGCCTTGAGTCCATTGACTAGGCCTCTGGACATGGGGCTGTGTCCATCCTTTTCCTCTGCTGTGGTGACTTGGCTTGCAATGCTCCGTGGTCGGGGTGGCACTCGGGATGCTCGATCTGTAGGTCCTTTACCGGGAGTGGGTGAGCGTTTTCCCCGAAAATCCAGACGCCGTGCAGGTGATGCTGGCTTGGCCCTGCCTGGGGCCCTGCGCCCTACTCTCCCCTGTGCTTTCTCCTTCTCCCGCAGCCTCTCTACCCTTCCAGACTCTGAACTGAGCCCCTCTGGATCAGCCATGCACACATCAGGGCGGGGAGGAGATGGGCGGGGGTCTGGCTGGGGGAGAGGCGGCGGGTCATGGCCAGGCCTGGGATGGTGAGATCCACTGACACCTCCAGCTTTGTCCACAGGTAGGAAGTCCCCATCTTCATCTGAATCAAGGGCTGCCTCAGCCGTGATGGATGGACACTCCTCAGTTTCTGGCGGGACATCAGAATCTGACTGTGAAGAGCCTGAGTCACTGGCTGATGTTGGCGGTGTCTCATCAGCCACAGGGCATGGACCCCCTGGGGCTCCTGGGCCCCCTGCCCGGCGCCGCCCCCCTCTCCCTACCAGCTGAGTTTCCTCAGTTGAGAGGTCACTGTCATCTGTGGATCGGAGCAGAGGTGGGTTCAGGAAGGATGGGGAAAGCTCCCCATGGTGGGGCCGGGGCTCAGCGGCACATCCCTGAGGCCCAGCCTCAGTATCAGGGGAGACACTTCTGGGTTGGCCTCCAGGGGCCCCTCCAGGGCACGGTGGGTGCTCAGGGGAGAGAAGTGTGTCGGGCCGGGAGCGCCTCTCAGCTCCCTCAGGCCAGGCTCCACGTTCCCAGGCAGGGCAAGCTGAAGCCTCTTCTTTCTCAGGCCTGGCTGGGGCAGGGCCCAGAGAGTTAGGGCTGGTTTCAGTTGGGCCATTACTGGCACAGTCCCCAGAGGTGCCCTGGAAAGGGCCTGGCTTCTTGGAGGTTGCCTCTGAGCACTCCAGGTGGCAGGGCAGGGTGCCGTCCTCCATGTCTACTGGCAGGCTTGGAGCCTGAGCTGGGGCCAAGTCCAGTGAAGCTGGGGGCACCGGGCTCAGAGGAGTGAGGTCCCACAGGCTGTGGGCAGCTGGTTCCATTCCTGGGACCAGGTCTCCAGACCCCTGTACTGCAGCCTCGAGGCCAGGAGGAAAACGCTCAGCCACACTTGAAATCACAGGTGTGGTGGCCTCAGAGGAGGAACCTTCAGACAGGGCTGGTGAGGCAGGTCGTGGCAGACTGGAGAGAAGTGGAGCCCCAGGAGAGCTGGGTGATGGGAGCTGGGGCAGTGAGGAGTCTAGGCTGGGAGCCTTGGTAACTTCTAGGTACTCATCATGCCGGGTCCTGATGGGGGGCCCTGGAGCCAGAGCCAGAGCTTTATCTCCAGAGAAGGCAAGGGAGCCACAGGGTGCCGAACGGGGTTCAGCTGGAGAAGGCAGTTGTGGGGAAGCTGGCTGCAATGAGGAGAAGCCAAAGGCTGAAGCAGGAAAGTCCAGGCTGGGTCGGACAGGACCCAGGTGTGAGTCCAAGGAAGGGCTGGTATGTGCCTCACTTGCAGACCACAATGTGGAAGGGCCCACAGGGATGGGGTGAGGGGGACTTGGGGGCTGGGTCTCTTTCTCTGGTTGCTCCCTAGCTCCCTTCTCCAGCTCTGAGTCACTAGTGCTGTCCTCCCAGTGCCCCCGGCCTGACTCCTTGGGGGATGGGGTCCTCCTTTCTGGGCTACAGCTCAGGATGTTACCATTAAGAGGGGAGCTTGGGCCTTTGCTCAGGGTGATAGGAGCACGGGGAGGTATTGCAGGTGGTGTGAGGCTGGGCTGCACACTTGACCCTGACTCAGGCTCCTGCCTGGGGGGTAGGGTAGGACCTGCCAGGGCTGCATAGTTGAAGGTTGGTGTGTCAGGTTGGAGGCTTTTGGGTGAGACAGGAGATGAAAGTTCTTTCTCTGCGGATGTGTTCAGGCCAGCAGCCTCCTCCTTGGTTGAGATGCATGGGGGCCAATCCCCAGCTGCTCCAAGTGGAGGCTCCCTAGTGGGACACGCAGGGCCCAACCCAGTGAGCATCATCTGCTCATAGATATCTGCATACTGAAAGCTTCTCTCATCAGGATAGGGGGTGGGCTCTCTTTCCTCCGGCTCGGTCTGCTCAGGCTCCTTGGTGGCCTGGCTCTCCCGAGCTCCTGGGGCCTTTGGGCTGCGTGGACTGCTGTCAGGAACCTCAGCCCTACCTTCTTCTTCCCTTTCTCCTTCAGCTTTGCGGTAGTCCTTGCCCAGGGGAGAGTATGGCCCACCTTCCAACTCAGCTGCCCCTTCCTGTACTGCAGTTACCACACTGTCATACTCGGTCGTGCCCCAGGAGAAGGGGGCAGGAGTGTGTGGCTCTGGGGCAGGTATGGGGGGAGCTGGAGCAGGGGAAAGTGGTGCAGGTGGTAGAGGTCTGTCCTTGGGTACCCATGGTGGGATGTCAGCCAGCCATGAGGGGGTAGTGGGCTCATTCCTCATGGAGGGCATGGGCTTAGGTTCTGGAACAGGGCTCTCTTGTCCTGGGGCTGGAGGAACCCTCTGTCCAACCATCTCAGGTGGGGAGGCTGGAGGAGAGATGATCTCAAAGGGAGAGCGGGTCAGCTTGTCCTCGTCCTCCGGTGGCAGCCCAACTGGTGACTCAGCAAGCCAGCGCTCCACCTCTAGCCCCTTCTGTGGTGAGGCCTCCTGGAAACCCTTGAAGTCTGAGGCCCAGGGGCTCTGGGGCATATGTTCCACCGGGGGTACTTCTTGCTCATCATCTGGCCCCTCATCGAGGAACGTGCTCTCCCGCTCCTCTGTATACCTTGGTCGGGCCCCCTGGCCATCTAGTTCATGGGGGAACCATACCTTGCGTTCACAACTCAGTTCCCTCCAGTATTTATCTTGTTCCAGGGCCATTTCCTCTCTGCCCTTCCAGTACCTGTCCTGCTCAGGAGATGTGTCCTCCCATTTGGGGGCAGGTTCTTTCTGTTCTCCAACTGGCTCCCCTCTGGTTGGAATTGCTTCTTGCCAGTCCTGCACCACATCCTGCTCCTGCCAGCACTGCTTTTCCTGTTTCTGAGCCTTGGCCTCCTGTATGGGGCTCTCTTTCGGCCCCAGAGTTGTGGTCTTCTCCAACAGAGCGTCTTCCTTTTGTTCCACCACCTTGACTTTTTCCAGAGACTTCTCCTCTAGGATCTTCTCCTTTGGTGTCATGGTTTTCTCTTCCTGTACTGGGCTGTCCTGAGTTTTGGTCTTCTCTTCCAGAGTCTTATCTTTCTGTTCAGCAGCCTTACTCTTTTGTTCCAGGGCTTCATCTTTCAGTCCTAAGGCCCAGGATTTTTGTTCTAAGAACTGGTCCTTCTTTTCTGAGGCCTTGTCCTGTTTAGGGATTTCATCTGCGTGCTCTATGGCCTTGCCCTTCAGTTCAGGGACTTTGTCCTCTAGATTCTTGTCTTTATGTTCAAAGTCTCTGACTTTTTGTTCTAAGACTTCATCTTTCTCTTCTGGAACCTTGTCTTTTTGTTCTGAGTCTCTGTCTTTTGGCTCCAGGGCCTTGTCCTTCTGTTCTATGACCGTGTCCCTTTGTTCAATGTCTCTGACTCTTTGTTCTAAAGCCTTATCTTGCTGTTCTACAATCTTGCTCTTTTCTTCCAGTGCCTCATCTTTCTGACTGATGGCTGTTTCCTTCTGTTCTACAACAACATCTTTCTGCTGTAGGGCTTCATCCTTTGGCTCAGGTTCTTTGTCCTTGTGTTGAGGGATTCTGTCTTTCGATTCTGGGACTTTGCCTTCCCACTCCAAGGCAATGTCCTCTGTGGCCAGGCTTGGCAAAGACTCAGGACTCTTAGTAAGAGAGCTTTCAGGTGTCAGAAGGTGTTCGCTAGGGCTTGTGATCATTCCAGGTAAGTGCTTCCCATCTCCCAACAATGTAGAGTGAGCGAAAGAGCCGGCAGATAATTTTCTGTCAGGGCTCTCATCTGTGATGTCTTCTTGTGCAGAGTATCCAGTGGACCCATCTGTGGGAGGTGATGTGGTGGTTGCATGGGGTTCTGGAATAGACACAGGGGCTAGGTGGTGAGAGGTATCTTCAGCTTGCTTCAGATGCCCCTTTTCTTCCTTCCCAAGGCTTAGTTCCCCAAACTGGAGGGTGCCCAGACTTTCTGGAGAGAGCTGCTTAGAAGAGATATCCAGAGAGGTCTCTTTGCTGGGACTCTCTTCAGAGAGAGAAAGTGACTGGGTATCTTCTGGAGAGACCTCTGGCCAAAGGTCTTTGTGTAGGTGCTGCTCTGTCAGGCCACAGGGAGACCTGGGGATGGCCTCTTGGTTGACAATATCTGGGGAGACCACGCTGAGGACAGAGAGGGACTGTGTATCATCAGGAGAGAGACCATGGCCAGGAGATTGGAGCACCTCCTGTTTTTGAGGCTCACCAGGTTCCTGAGGTGATGGCCTCAAATCTCCTGGAGGGGTTTCTGTTCCTGCAGTTGAGCCTGGAGGCTCTCTTGTATCCACAGTCTCAAACACAATTGCTTTGTCCTGTTCTGGCAACAGTTGGATGGTACAGCCTGTATGTCCCCCGACAATGCTGATGGGTGCTTTCTGGGCCAGGGGGCTCCTGGGAGGAGGCACCTCTTCCTCCTTTAATGTGCCCTCTTCAGGCCATGGCTTGATTATCTCCTCTGTGGCATGTTCCTTGCCCACACCTGCTGTATGCTTAGTGCCTGCCCAGGGAACTTCTTCCTTAAAGTCTTGGGGCTCAGACTTGTCTTCCACTGGGGACTGATGAAATGGTGTGTGTGTGGCACTGGGGGGGCCAGATGGTGGAGGAGAGGCCATCTTCACTGTGCTGTCATCCGGGCTGAGGCAGCGCTCCTCCACTTCTCCAAGGGTTGGTTCCCCTGGGTGTAGGGTGTGCCCAGGGGCACCAAACATTGGGCTTCCATATTGACTAGGAAGTTTCTCAGACATCTCTACCTTTGCAGTCCCCTTCTGCTCCTCTTCCACGGCTCTCTCTCCAGGCAGGCCTCTTCCTACTACCTCTCCTCTCTTCTCTGACTCTCCTGTCACAGAGAAATCCTCACAGGGTGGTGATTTGAAGCCTTTGTCTTCTTCCAGTGAGGATGTGGGCGAGATTGTACCAGCTGATGGCACGTAGTCCAAGCCCTGAGTGGCTTCAGTGCGGGATGAGGGGATGCTTGTGACTGTGTCAAGCAGCAGGGAGCTTTTTCCTGTCTCCTCTGTCTGGGGAGCCGTGAGTGAAGCCACGGATTGGTCCTCAGCCACGGATGTGGCAAAGGAAGACAGTTTGTCACACTCAGTGATTGAGGTGGCTGAGGACACATGCTCTTCTTCAGCCAAAGGGGCAGCCACTATGTTGGGAGGGTAGGTAAGTTCAGTGTCTGGTGCGCCATAGCTTTTGCTGGCAGTGGTGGTGACAGCACTGTCTGCAGGCTGGCTAGCCTCAAAAGGGCCAGGACCTTCAGGCCCAGAGAGGTCATACGTACTTGTGGGGAATCTAGGTGGAGCTGGGCGTTCCTCAGGCTCATCATGGATCTCCTCATCTGAGATGGTCTGCTCAGTCTCTGAGTAGCCAGGAATTGTCTCATCCTGGATGTAAGAGACATGCTCAGTAGCTCCCGCAGGTGTGGCTAGGCTGCTTAGGAACGACGAGGTCTCCTTCTCAGAGGCCTTGCCCTGGAGTCCCAGTTCCCGGCCCCCAAGAGGCTCTCTGACCCGTGGCGTTACCTTCAAGGCTTCCTGCATATGTTTTTGGTAAAAACCCTCAGCTTTTGTCTCTTCCTCTTCCTCCTCATCTGAAGGGTGCAACTCCTCCATTTCCTCTAACTCTGCCTTCTCAATCACATCCTCCTTTACCTCAGGTTCACATTCCTCTCTGGATTCTGTTGTATCAGGGAGCCTCTCTGCTTCCTTCTGCTTCTTTTCTTCCCAGGTATATTTCTCTTCCTCTGTTTCAGCCCCAGAGTCTGGGCTTCTCTCCTTACTGCCTTGTTCCTCAGGGATATCTGGTATACTCTCTTTCTCCTTTTTCACAGGCTCCTCCTGTTCCAGCACTGGTACAGAGGATGGTGTTCCTGTGCACGGGGGAACCTCCTCCATATCTGGAGGGATTGGTTTCTCTCCTAGTCCTACATCCCTTTGTTCAGCCAGCAGCCCCCTCTCCTCACGCTTCATCTCCTCAAAGTCCTGTGTGAGATCCTCGGGTGAGGAAAGGGCCAGCTCTCTCTGCCCACTGACAGTTGGGAGAGGCACAGTCCCCTTCTGGGCTGGGGGTGTCCGGGGCTCAGAGGTCAGCTCCTTCTCCGCTCGAACAGCCCTACTCTTGTCTATCTTGACTCTTCCAGGTGCCTTAGCTTTGTAGAGGGTCTTACGTACCTCAGGAGTAAAGGGCTTCAGGTCTGGCTTGGAAATCTTTTTGACCTCAGGTTTGGTATCTTTCCTCTTCTCCTCTTTCCTGGCATCTTTCTTCTCCTCCTTCCTTCCTTCATCCTTTTTAAGCTCCTTCCTCTCTTTCTTTATTTCTTTTTTCTCTTTGTCTTTTTTCTCTTCCAGCTTTGATATCTTTTCTTTCAGGTGCTTTTTCCCCACCTTGTTGTCTTTGATTAACTTTCGCTTCTCTGCCTTCAATGCCTCACTCGACTCTGTCCTCACCCTCTCAGGTTTGGCAGGTTTCTCTGGGGGCTTCTCAGATGACTCTTTTACCTTCTTCTCTGTTTTGGCTAACTCTTTGGCCAACTCTGAGCGGGCTTCCTTGGCTCCCTCTTCAGCCACCTCTTCCCGTTTGGCCAGCTTGCTCACGGCTGTCTTGGTAGTGGCCTTGAGGCTCTCTTTGCTGTCAGTCCGCTGTTTGATTTTGCTGGGTTTGAGGTTGGCAGGAACAGCCCCAGCAGCCAGGTCCTTCTGTGTGGCCACAGGATAGCGCAGGAAGTCCAGATGCCGAAGTTTTTCCAGGCCCTCCAAGATCTTGTTCTGGGGAGCATTTCCTGGAAAAAGCACACGCACAATCTTTTCAGTGGGGTTGGCTGGCAGCCAGACCACCAGAGCAGTGATAGAGGTCAGATAGGGCACTGAGATCTCTGCCTCCTTCCCATTAGCCAGCACAATGCCTGTCTTAGCTTTACTGTTCCCTGCCCACTTCTGCATGAGGAACTGCATCTCCTTGCTGTCCTTGACAGGGTTGAGGACATACATGTCTAGGCGACCCACACCCATCTTGTGGAAGAGGGTCAGTGGCTCGATGGTGTTGCTGACCACACGGTACAGAGGCTCGGCCTGGATACCCAAACGGTTTAGGTGCTGCAGAGTGAGGCAGGCCTCCTCAATGCTACGCTTGGCCTTCCGGGAGGCATCAGGCAGCCGCAGCTTATCGGGCACATTGAAGAAGACAACTCCAAGCTCAGGGGAGATGAGGTTCTTCACCCAGTCACTGTAGCTGCTAGAGCCCTGAGACTGTTCCTCCTCTAACTCAGCCACTTTGCGCTGCAGGAGTCCATTGATGCCCGGCAGGTTGTCGGCCCCGATGTGTGTTAGCAGCACTGAGTCAATGCGGTCCAGGTGCCGTACCAGCTTCCAGAAGCAGGACTTGCGATCAGAGCCACCATCCACCAGGATATTGAAACCATTGACAGCAAAGAGGGCAGAGTCCCCACGGCCGCCAGGGAAGATGTAGCAGCAAGGCTTGGAGAGCTTGAGGAAGCCCCCTGAGGTGGGGGGCTCTAGCAGATCAAAGGGGGATGGCACATCCACAGTCTCAGAGACATACTCGGAGAACTCAGCCACGCCATCCATGGTGGGCAATGTGGGCTCAGGGTTCAGCCGCAGGCGCAGGGTCTCTTGGGAACTAGATAGTCCCAGGTGGCTCCAATCACCCTCCCCTAAGCAGGACACGGTGAGGAAGGCCTGGCTCTCAGGGTCTCTGTTGCTGAGCAATTGGGCAATCTAGAAGAATGGGAAATAGAAGCTTGATCAGGTCATCTGGGTTGCCTTAGCCCAACTCAGATTCAATCTGTTAATCTCCACCTCTCTCCAAGGTAATCACCTACCCTTCTACCAAGGCTCCCAATGGCTAAGTAATGTGAGACTTTCCCTCCCTTGGTTTTGTGCCCCCAGCTCTAGTTCTACTCCCTATTCCCTTCCTCCCAGACACTCAGATGTGGCACTTACCTCAGGGTTCTGAAGGACCTGGGCAAAGTTTTGGTAGGAATAGGTGCCACTCTGTAAAATGAGGTCTCCTCCAGGTTCTAAACTTTGCCCACTCAAGATCAGTAGTTTGTGAGCTGATGGGCTGCTAAGGAGATGGTGCACCTAGAATGGAATGAGGGGGTGTCACAGGTACAGGAAACCCAGGGAAGGACGCTGAATGTTGTTGGTCTAATGCCCTCATCCCCAGCCCCTCCCTACCCCCAGTTCTGCAAGGACTTGCTTCCTGCTATAAAGTAGCTTAGAAGGCAAAGAAAGGGTGGTTCAAAGCCACGTCAGGAATTCTTGGTCTTAAAGTGGTAACACTGGCAAGGGTAGGTTACAGCACTTGCTGCATGCCCTCTTGGCATGGAGCAGGGTCTGGCCTTACCTCAGAGTTGATGCTGTCGGCACTAGGGTTTACCAAGATGACAGTCTCTAGGATATCACTCTGATGGGAGAGGGTCCTTTGGCCTGAGGGAGAGATGTAGGAATTTGTATGCAAATGTGGGCTTATTCTAAAATGGAGAAGGTATAATTGGGGCAGAAGAAAAGAATGCACTATTAGAAAATGGGGCTTAGGAGATAGAGAAGTCTGGCTGGCAGTCTTTAGATCCTGCCACTCTGAATACTGCTGAATAAGGTCTTTACCACTGGCTCTTCTACCTCTTCCTTTCCATGGTTTCCTCCTCCCCTTCCCAAGCTGGCTCTGGGCCCTTCATCTGCCACACCCTCTGCCTGCCCAGTGCCCCTACCCCCTCTGCCTGGAACTCCCCCCTCAGACTGCCCAGTTGACAAGAAGCTTTTGTCCCTCAGAGCACTGAGCTCCTGGTGCTGCCTGGAGATGGGGGGCTCAGCTGGAGGGAAACTCCTGGGACACTCATCTTCACTCAGCTCTTTCCTCACTAGCTTGCCACTGCCCAGAGCAGTCACATCAACAGTGTCAGGAAAGGAGGAGATGGGAGGTTCTGTGCAGTGTCCACAGACTGTCCTCCTGCCCCCAAGCCAAGGTCAGAATTCCCATTCCAAAAGACTTAGAGAAGCCTGTGCTATTTAAACCCTTGGAGCTTTATAATTCAAAAAGTAAGAACAGGACTGTAATTTCTTGTTTTGTCCTTTGGTACCTGGGAGGCTCATCCTGTACTCACAAACATGCACACATCATGTTCCCAACCCCCCTCAAAGGTTTCAGAGCTCCCTTTCCCACCTCACCTTCATGTCCCTAGGCTCCAGAGAGGCCTGGTTCTCTACCCCACAAACCATTCCTTGTGAACAGTTTCTTCTCTCATCCTTGCCCCTCTCCTTTGGGCCTTCTGCCATGGAGATGGGAGTTGGGGGTTCACAGACAAGAAACAAATAAGGAAGCAGAGATTCAGAGTGTTCCCTAGGCCACAGAGAAAGATACCATCAAATCCCCTTTCTATTTCCCTTCTCCAGACTCACAGGAAACTCCAAGGAATACAAGTTGGTGTACCAAAAATGAGGCAGGTTAGACAGAATATTCTAAGAAGGACCCTGCCTTCCCCTGCTCCTGGCTTTCTAGCTGCAGCACACAGAGGTGACAGAGTTGAACAGATAGGGAGGGGGGTGAGCTATTTGGAAAATATGGCAGGAGGACTCATAATCTGTCCCCTAGGGTCTCTTTTGTGACCCAGCTCTCTCCTGTCTTTGAAGCTTGGGACAAGAAGAGCTGAGGTCAGGGCCTTTTTTAAGAGGAAAAGCCATAGTGCCAGGTCCATCTGGTGGCACAGGGTTGCCAGTTAAGAGCCCCAGGAGAAATGAGCTGCGGATGGTGTCAGAAGACCAACCCTGTACAAGGTGGGTGGGGCCCAAGAAGAGTTCAAGAGTTCTCTTCTTAACTTGGGAATTGAGAGAAGCTTGGCGCTCCATTCAGAGGATGGAGCCATGTCGAGATGGCACGAGCAGGGCTGGGGCAGGTGAAGGATATCAGGGTTCAGGGAGCAGAGAGCCCTAAATGGATCAGATTTAGAAGAGCAATTTCTATACTCTCTCGGCCTCCAGTTGATAGGAAAGAAATCGGAAGGAGATACATCTGTGGTACAGACTGATTTGCTCTCTATTTACCACACTTCATCCCCGCCCCCCCCACACACACCCCTACCATTCCTCACAGTCTCCTGTTTACAACCACTAGACTTCACCAATTTCAGTTCCTGTCTTGGCGCAAGACCCTACCCCAGCCATGTGCTGTCCAGTTCTGACTTGCTATACACAGTTTATATCCTGTGCCCCTCCTTTTTAGGCCTGAAAGAAAGCCCTCTTTCTCTCCTCTGCGCCCCAGCAATCCTATTGAAAAGAAGTGACTTGTTTTTCCTTTTTCTTGAGAGAGGATTTCTCTTGAGCCATTGGCACTTTCCTGGGTCAGTGATGAGGTTGGGTGGGCTGCAGACACGGAGGCAGAACAGGCAGGAGGGCAGGTGTCTCTGCAGTGAGGCAGAAGGGGAGGGGGGGCCGCCCGGGCAGCTGCAGTTTGCCGCAGTGTGTGAGTGTGTGTGAGTGTGCGCGCTGAGCTCAGGCTCCAGCTCCGCCCCCACCCCCCCACCCCAGCATGACAAGTCATTTTCTTGGCTGCTTCAGCTTGGGGGTTGGGGGGTGCAGAGAGGGAGAAGAAACTGGCTCCTCTGTTCAAGAGTCCCCATCTTGGGAAGAGAAACAGAGATGAGGTGGGGGTGGGGCTGAGACCGGGAACATGTGGGGTTGACAGGACTGGGAATGCAGGGCAGCTGCCAGGGAGGGAGTGCGCTCAATCTTGGGGATGGCCTCTCAGTCGCTGAAGGGAGCCAGAAAAGGGGGGCTTAGAGTCCCAGTGGCAAGCTAGTCTGCAGGGATTGGGGTGCGGGGAGCCCACAGCAAATAGACTGGCCTGTGAGGAGGCTCTTGCCACATGTTAATGATCTTTTCCTCTCTTCTTTTTGATAGTGGCCCCCCTTCCCTTACTTGGCAAAAACTCACTGTCCTGCTCACCCCTAGATAGAAGCAGCTGAGCAATCTAGCAGCTGACACCCAGCGACCCTCCCATTAGGCATCCTCATAAGATCAGCCTTTCCTTCAGTTCTTCTGCCTCTGCCCAAAGACATAGCTCCCAAACTCATCAAGCACCCCAGGCTGACAAGCGGAGTCGCTGAAGCCACTCTCAGCTCTGCTGCCGCTAGACTGATGCCTCCAGCCCAGCCCAGCCCAGCCCAGCCCAGCCGGAGAGGTGGACTGTCATAGTCACGGCCCCTTAGCCTCAGCCCAGGTCTGGGTAGCCACACAGCCAGTCATGTTCACCTTCTCGCTCCATTCCTCCAACCTGCCCAGCCCAGCAGGGCTAATTCCAGACATGACAGATTATGTATCAACTCCCTTCTGTTACCCCACCCCACCTCCCAATCAGAACCCCCCCCACCCCATGCCAAGCCCTTTGGTTTGGTTCAATTCTTACCCTGGGGTGTGGGAAGGAGCCCCTCATGGAGGCTGCAGCTCCGGCCTCAGCCGGCAGCTTCAGGGAAGAGTCTGCGGCACTTGGGGTGGGAGTGGGGTGGGGGGGTTGCTAGCTTGCTAGATGGGGAGGGCGGCGCCAGGGCGGGGAAGAGGGGCTGGTCCATGACGAGGCACTGGAGACTTAACTGTTTCTTTGCCTTCACAGTGTCAGTGTCCTGGTGCTTCTGCATGGCTCTGGGGGTCTGAGGAGTTGTCTAGCAACTCAAAGACCCTGGGCTTTTCTAAAGGCCCCAGGGCCCTTCTCCCCCAGCCCTGCTTAGTCAAGAAACACTCTTCAAGTAATAGCCAAAAGACGGAAGCCCCTTGCCGAGGGCACATGTAGGAATAACAGGGAGTAAGGGCTGCCTGGATCTGCCCCCCCTTCTCTCAGGAACCATCTGCTGCCTTTACCCTCAGACCCAGAGAGTGACCTTCAATCCCTGAAGTAGCTGGAGACAAAGAGATTGGGGGCCTGAAAGCAACAGAATGAAAGGACTGCTTGAGAGAAAACCTGGGGATAGGAGTTGTTCTCAGTTCTGCCATCAGGTCTGAATCAACACTGCAAAGCAGGGGAGTGTAAAAATAGTCTCAGTTTAGTTTAGAGGGTAGTGGACACATGGACCCTAGGCCATCTAGGCTGTGGCACAGGGACCCTGGGGGGCTGCATGAAGTTTTGTGCCAGTGCAGCAGCCATAATCATCATACAGACACTAATATTTGGACTTCCTGGCTCACTGGACATGAACAGGCAGAGTGCTTTTTGGCTTTCAGTGAAAGAGTTAACAGAGACCAAAGCTTACCAGCACCCCAACCCCAAGCAAATTTTGTTATTATAGGTCAATTATTACAGGTAACATAAAGCTCTGGGTTTAAAAAATTTTTTAAATTATTTTTTAGGGTATTGGGTGCCTGTTCTTTTTACATTCTGCAATTTTCTGTCTCTTGATGTCACTCTCTTATACAATCTCCATCTTTGTAATATTGGCCCTGTCTCCTTTGGCCTCTATGTCTGTCTCAGATTTAGTGATGTGCTCTAGGACTCAGAGGGAGGAGCTGGAAAGATCTAGCACTCAGTTCCCACTGGGTGATGCTCAAAGTTCCCACACAGCCCTTCCCTGCCCTCTTCCCTTTCATCAGCCTTCCCTGGTCCTGGCCAACTCCCAAAGCCTTCCTCACATTGACATCCACCCACTCATGCCCCAGCACCAACCCCACCCTTGCCCCAGGCTGCCAAGAGCTGTTTTGAAGGTCAGAGAAGCCAAAATAGTCTCGCTCTCAGCATCCTCCATCCACCCTTCACTGGAGCCAGAAGAGAGGAGCTGAGTCACCATAACTGGGGTGGGGTGGGGGTAGGGAGAACAGAGGGGGAGGAATCCATGCTAAGATCCGGAGATGCAAAGAAGTAACATGGCAACAACCCCATTTGGATAGAGGAGGGCATCCGTGGAGATACACAGCACAAACCAGGCTGAGCCTCGAGCATTACAAAAGGGAAACTTCTCCATTCCCAACTTTATAGTTCTTATTTCTACCCACCTCAAGCCTCCTACCTCCTCTCAATATTATTGAGCTCTCTGGGGTGTTAAGAGGGAAACTTAAGTAGACATTTGGCCTGAGAACAAAGTAATACTTCCCAGCCCAATACAGCCCACTGTTATTCTCAGCTGCTATACCCAAGGACCACACCCAGGGAAGGTTTGGACTCATAATGTTTTCCTTGAGCCCTCACCCTCTGAATTGTCACCCACCACAAATAACCTTTCACTTGTTATATTCCTAGGTTCTGCTACAATGAAATGGTGAAACACAAAGAAGTGAGGTCTGAACTTGGACACAAAGTGAGGTCAGAAGTCCTGAATTTGAGACCTGACTACCATTTTACTAATCATATCATTTACCCATCAGTAGTAATTGAAAGACAACAGAAATAAGCCATGTAACGTCTCTCAAAACTTGCTTCCTGAACTATGACAGGAGTATAATGCTAGTACCAACTTGCAATAATGTCATGCAGATTGAACAGCCTGAAAGATGAAAAAGTGCTTTTCTTAGAATTTTAAACCTGCAATGCCCAAATGCCACTGGAATTCTGTCTCGTTTTCTGTGGAAGATTTATGAGAAAGCAGATAGGTGATCTTGGAAGTTCTAAATCAGAATCTCAGGTCAGACCAGCTCTAGGAAGTATTTAGCCTACAGGAAGGGAGTACTATTTGTGTCTGTTTTCCTTTTTTCCTACTTTGGGGGCCAATGCATTGCTATATTAATTAAGAATGGTTTTTCATGTTTACAAGACTGCTGCTTCCTGAGCCTATCAGTGGTAATTGAGAGTCAAACAGAAAGCCAGTTTAAAAATGGTCCATCAGCCTATGTTTTTTAGACTAAGAATCAGTCATGAATTATAAATTATGAAGCCCTCTCTGCATTTCCTAGAGGTGCCCAGTGATAGCAGTATCAGAGTGTTATTTAAACTCAGTTTTATGCGGTCCTATTTGTATCTGGATTTATAATATAATGCTAAGAAACTCCAAGTTTTTTTGCAGGAATTAGAAAGGAAGACTCCAGCACCACTGGAGACTCACTACCTGGTGCAAAATTCACTTTGGAAAGCCTGTACCAGATTTGACCACTAGAAGGAGCTGGGCCCCAGAGAAAAGGGTCCCTTTGGGTTTTGTTTTTTTTTTTTTTTTTTTTTGGTGTGTGTGTACAAGTGTGGGTCAGGAGGGGGTGGTGGCTAAGAATGACTGCACTCTGCCCATCATTGCAGGATACAGTTTTGTACCTTTTCTCAGCATTTTGGCCTAGCACTTGAAGGAAAGGTAAGAGGGATGGTGGCCCTTTCAATGGTGTGGCAGACAGGGATTAAGTCATAAAGTACTGGCATTGCCCCTTGAATGATACCAGGAGCCTGGTTCCCTTTGTCTCTCCACTAATAGGAGGCTGAAGGGAGGGGCAGTGTCTGCAGCTGTCTGGGCTGACTGTTGTTTGTGGGGACAGCTGAAAGAGGAGCCAGCAGGGGTGGGGCTGTGGCTGTCTTGATCCATGTGGGTTTTTCCAGGAAATTCTCTGCTATTCTCCAGGGACACTCTGACAATGTCCAAATCTAAAATAATTCAGTATACTAAAGTAAGCTCTGATCTTGGGCATGTGACTCTAAATTCCATTAGGGCATCATTACAAATCTATTTAATTGAAGGTGTTTATATATTAGTGATTGTTTCTGAGCATTGCCTGAGGGAGGATGCTTCTCCCTATAAGTGTCTTCCTAATCCTAATATCTTACTCTGAAGAACAGCTAAATATTTTGGTTTAACTTCTGTTTATTCTTACATCATTATAGAAATCAGCCTATTACTAAGTCTCTATAGCCAAAAGGACAAAGTTAGAAACTTCAGTGTGAATTATAATATCAGTACATAATCCCCAAATTTCAAATCAGTCATTAATTTCATCCTTTGTCATTCTTTTATTGAGCCTTGCACCAAAGCTCCAAGGAGTAATAAGTGCTAATGGATGAAGTGATGACGTGAGTAATTCTAAACAGAAGGCAGTCTCAAAACATTGAGTGATTAGCTTCACAGGAAACCAGTCATAAGGAAGAAGTCAAATTTATATTTTTAAAATGCTGCACATATTTCTAGGATACTTAGTCATATTAACCTGTCTTCTCTTCTCTCTAGATACATCTCTAGAGAAGTCAGCAATCAGGAAAATGTCCATAGATCTTGGAGTTAGCAGAAGCAGGAAGAAAAAAGGAGATGACAATCTACTATACTAGGTAACTGAATATTTTTCTTTATAATCTATAAATTCAGTCATTTAGTGACAGTGGCTGTTGAGTTGGAAAACTTTTATAATCTATAAAGGCACTGGCACATGGATTGGTGTGTTAACACTTACCAATACATGAGTAGATGCCTAGAACTTTTATTATGATACATAAGGCTGCAAAAAGGCAAAAAACATTCTCCCCACAGGTATTGCCATGGGATGAGAGTTCCTAAAATACCATTTTCTCATACCTCTAGCCCTTTTTTTCCTACCCAGCAGAATAGGGAGTTGCATCCTGTGAACTCTGATCTCAGGAACCAAATTTTAGACTATGACTAGCCCTTGAAGCAGTGAATTCCATCCTGGATTTGGCTCATCAGCATTTGGTACCAAGATTCTTCTCTGCTCTGGAGATGTGTTGGTTGAGCCATAAGAGGAAGCAGAAACCCTGAAACCTGGAGGACAGGCTGTGTAGCCTGAAGCAAAGTGCTACACAAAGGTCTGGAAGGTGAGTTGAAGGTTCAGGGGTTCCAAAAGGAAGGCTAAAATATCCAGAGAGGGGAATACCAAAAAGGTAGATTTTTGCATTGGAGATGATCACTCCAGAGAAGTACCTATTTTCCTTTGCGCACATCAACAGCTGTCTACAACTCCCCCCTTTTTTTTCCCTGGTAGATATGACCTTCTCCAGGTTCCCTCCACCATCTGCTTGCAAAGTGTACTGGGTATGGTGGGATAGCTATGGAGTTTCGCAACTTTCTCCTCAGGAAGCCCTTCCTTCTCCTTGACCCAAACTGCCCCCAAAGCCAGTTCTACCATGGAGACTGAAGCTCTGCTTTTCTGTGACCAGCCCTCACCCAAAGAATTGACACAAATGACACTAGTCCTAACCTTTGACCTCTGAAGAGAAGTGAGCTAGATGCCGGGTAATGAAGAGTCTCAATTGTTGGTTCAGGTCAAAAGATGATAAGTCAATGTTCCAGGAGAGAATCCCTGTGAAAGAAAAAGAAACAAAGAGGGCTCTAATGACTGTAATGTGCAAGGTGGACTTCAGGGAGCATATCCAAGTCCACTGAAGGGGTAAAGGATAGGGAGGGGATAAGGACAGTTGCCATGGTCAGCCTCACTGATGACTTTAAGAAAGGTAGCTAGTGCCTATTGTCTGTTTTCTATTCTGTTCTTTTCTTGGGTTTTGCTTGAGTCAAAGAGAGGAAAGCACAGTTTAGACTAAACTTGGCCATTAATGAGTTTCTCTATGGGAATTTTCTTACAGGGTTGTCCAATTGTGATACAAGGGACAAACATGGACTCATCTCCAAATACCAGGGTCTGCCTTCTTGTCCTTAACAATTAAGTAGGATTTTGGACTCTCCTATGCCCCCCTCCTTGCCTCCACCCTTCCGAGGGTTGGCTTCCACCCGCAGGTGGCTCCGCAGCACTGCGCCACAGGGAGGCAACTGGAGAGGGAGGTGAAGACTGAGAGCCTGTGGCCACTAAGGTCACTCTCTCAGGTTGGCTATCGGCACTGGGAGACAGAAGACTGGAAACTTGTCCTTGGCATATAGAAAGCACTCTGTGCGTGTGCAGGGACCCTAAAGAAGAAACTAAGGTAGGGACGTGGGCTCTCCAGGGAATGGTGAGGACTTTCAGGACATTGGCCCTAGATACTGCGGGAGAGAGGGGTGTGACAGGAGAGCCCGCAGGGGCTGCATGCAGAGATTCCTAGCCTCGGAGGTTGCGGAATGCCTAAGGTGTTCGGGAAGGACGGGGAAGCGAGGTACTGACTGCTCATAGGATATGGACGCCTGACATGGAAGATGCTGGTGACAGGGGTTGATGATTCAGATAAACGGGGAGCACAGGTCCCAGGGAGTGCTCACTAGGGATGGAGGATGCCGACATACTCTCTGGGAGGTGAATGCGGATGGCGGGGAAGCACAGGATGAAGCATGTCCCGAACACAGGCAGAACAGCAGCTCACCTTGTTCAAGGTGGGCCCGCACGGCCCTCAGCTGATTCTCTGTACCGATATCCCCGATCACGATGAGCAAAGAGTATCTCCGCAGGTCCCAGCGTGCCGCCCCCACCGCGGCTCCGGCCTCGCACAGCGGCTCCGCGGGGTTCTGAGACCGCGGTGCACCCGGGCTCCCGAGCCCCAGTCCGGGACTTGTCTCCATGGCAACGCCGCCAGGCCGCCGGGGCCCAGCCTCGGTCTCCATGGAAACTCCGTTGGAGTGTTAGGCCGGCAGCGTCCGCTGCGGGGAGAGTGCGCGCGGTTCTTAAAGGCCGGCGGCGGGAGCTTCTGATTGGCTGCTGCATGTCAGGGGGTGGAGCTTTGGCGCCGCAGGGGCCGAGACGCGGGGTTCTGCGGTCTTCCCTCTGCCTGGGGGCTGTGGTCGCCACTTTTAACTCCCTCTATATTTCCGGAGGGAGCGCCCAGTCGACTCCGGGAGGGCTAGGAGCTCTGGGGGACCGGGGAGGGCGAGTCTATTGCCTTGATGCTGAAAGAAGCTTCTAGTTAGAATAGTTTCTCAATGATTGCTGTGTGGCAGTTCTGCAACCTCGACTGAACTGAGGGAGCCATCTTGTCCCTCTCTCTGCCTCTTGAGTTTATATCGGTGTCTCCATCTGTGTTGGTGTGTCTGTATTATCAGTCTGGCGCTTTTTTTTTTTTTTTTTTTTTTGTCACTGACTGCCAAGGTCCTTCCCTGTCCTCGTTGCTCCTTCTCCTGGGAGCGCTCAGGAAAGCTGCGCAGTGTTGGAGGGACAGAATGACCTTCCGGCCTTGAGTCCCTGGTGAGTTGTTATTCCGAAGATAGAGGTTGGCTAATCTCCAGTTCTGCTGAGTGCAGTGAGCTCAGACTGCAGCAAGGGGGATTTGAGTAAAACCCAGAAAAGACCTTAGTGACTACAAGTAATGTGACACAGAGAGTTTGTAACCTTGGAAGATTGTGATATTACTCCCTCCAGGGGCAATATTTGAACCAAAGAGGCTGACCCTTCTAAAACCAGAGAACCAGCCAATGGGAAAGAGGATTGAGAGAGGTAGGAAGTATTTTACGGCTGACCTGAACAACCTTGTGAAAATGGTGCTTTTAGGTCTACACTACCCTATGCCTCCATGTGTTACCCCTCCCCTAACACTCTTCCCACACCTACTTTGCACTCCCAACATCATCTTTTACCCAGTGTACTGACTTAGTACGAACATTTGTGTGTCAGACAGGGAGGTCTTTCACCTCCCTGTCTTTCACCTTAGGGCTCCAAGCAGCACTCTTGAATCCAATTTGCCTTACACTGGATATAGTACAGGGGAGGAAAGAGTACACACAGTACCTGGTTCACCTGTGCTGCTTGGGAGTCACATTCTAATCTGACACCCTTTTTGAGGCCCTGGGAAGATTGAACATTCAGTGTCTGCATGTTAAGTACCTCATAGCGATCCTGGTTCCTGTCATGGAACATGTTCTATCAAAACAGTTGACTCCATTCTGTACTCAATTTGGACATGACCCTGAAAACCCTTTTTGTTGTAAGAGATATAAGAGAACTGACATCACATGGTGGGCTGCCTTGCCCTATATGACAGGTGAGACAATATTCTGCTACACCTGTGCCCCATTATTTGCACTTGTGAATCTGGCAAAGAGCATGGAGAGATGTACAGGCGGCCTCTGCTGCGATCAGAGTGCCACGTGGAGGCAGAGCACCAGAACAGGTTGTGGAGAGAGGAAGGGGACAGTTTGTATAGCAACTGTGGAGCACAGGGCCTCATAATAAGGGCCAACAGCAGTTAAACACAGACCTGCTTTCCTCAAGTCTGACAAAGAGGTTAGACAATAGATCTGGATGGTATAGGGAGGGACCATACATTGATCAAATAGTAGGGGCAAAAATTCAGGCTGTGATTCCAGGTCTTACTAGAATTGGGTTTTAATTGCAGCTGCAAATACAGACTATGAGAGTACTAAAATTGTGTGTGTGTGTGTGTATGTGCATGTTTGTGTACACGTTTGCTTATTAACTATTCAGCAGTTCGTTGCAACGGCAGACAATGTCATAGAAATCCAGGTGACTCCAGCGTCCTCATTTATTAGCAAATATTTTCAAGTGTTGTATGGCACACTGCACTTTGCAAAGTGCCATATAAAGAAAACTTATGGAGTGTTAGCATCTGTGATCCAGAATGTTACAACTGAAAACAGAACACATACGCATATGTACAGGCATAGTACACTGAAGAAAAACATTAAAGAAGTGCATATATGAATTGCAAAGTATATAAAGATCTATTTTGTGTTTAGTGCACTTTGTGTCTATTATAGTGCACTTTGGCAGGAGTTTTGTAGTAAAAGGGTGTCATTCAAAGGTCCTTTCAAGGGGATTGTTGAGGACCTTTGATATGCATAATTGTGAGGTACATGCGTGTAGTGATGTGTAGTTGCTATAGAGCCATTGTAGTTTTAACTGTTGACCGCTGGGCTGATGAGGTATGACTCCCCTGTTTTGGGAACTCCCCTGTTCTATAGTTTCTTTCTTACCCTTGTCATGCAGAAGTGACAATTTCAATGGTTACCAAACAATGTTTTCAAACTTATTTGTGATAAAGGACCCTTGAATTGTGGAAGGGGTCTGTATGGATCCACCACTGAAAGAAGTGATTAGAAGGAGATGCTAAAAAGGAAGGTACTATCTGGGCTCTTTACTTAGGTGTGCCTGCAGTGGATCTAGGGCAAAAGGTAGTTTAAATTTCAAATGGTGTGAAAGGTAATTTTAGTCTTGATTTGGCTAGATTTAAGCTAGTTTCTCAGTGGATTCTCAGTCCACAGATCTTCATCAATTCATAATACACACTGATGAGTTACCCCACAGGTGAAGTAAGCACATACTAACAAAGCAGGAGAGTGTCTAAATTTTTGTGGAAATAATTTTATATAAAAACTAAGTTCTCATGAGAAAATTGGTATTGGGATTAATTGCACTCATCTTGAATTTTGTGTGTGGAATAGGAGGGCACCATAATGTGTAGAGTCTCCAGAGGATTTAAGCAAACTCTGATAATTCCTAAAAAGACGGACTCTTTTCTTTACTTTTAGCCTGATGAATATCATTAGTTTTGGGGAAGGGGGTAAAAGGGGGAAGAGGGAAAATCTGAGCTAGTCTGGCAAAATTCCAGCTTGCTCTGCTGGCCTGTGTGGTCTTATCATTCGAAATACCCAATAGGAGCTTTGTGCAGCTCAGATTCCCACCCAGTACTCAGTTCTGCCTATAAAGCATTCTTTACACAGAAAGAGGGATTGGATTACAGGATTGCTGTGTCAGAGATTAATCCTTGACTTTTGGGGAAAATACTATGATCATAATGCATAAAGGCAGCCTTAGGGTAACCGCTTAGCATGAACAGTTGGTTTATTTGCAAAGGCATGAGTAAAGTAACCTTTAAAACAGAACCAAGTAAAATAATATCTAAAAAGAATTGAGATGGGGGAGAAATCTGCATTTATTGTGTGCCTGACACACAAAGGAGAACCACAACAAATGTTTGTTGTGTAATTTTCCTAATTATTATTTGTTCACATTAAGGAAGTGAGGAGAACTCAGGCACTGCAGAGCATTGTAAAAGACAATGAAGAACTTTACTTTTTTTCCTCTCATTCTCTACATTCAAGAAAGTGAGTCCTAAAAATGAAAAAAAACAAAACAAAACAAAACAAAACATTTATGGACACCATTTTCCCTTATCCATTCTGTTTTAACCACAGTTGATTGTGGCCTCAGATACTACCTTTTCTCTTCCTTTGAACAAAGTTCCCTCTTACTATAGGGATCTTGAAAGATTTTCTTGTGGAACTCAAGATGATAGTGGGAAAGAATCTAAATCTTAAGTGAAGAGTTTAGTTTTGAGGCCTCCTGTTTGTGAATTAAATGTCATATCTTTTCTTCAGGGTATCTGTAAAGTTATTTCCCTTCAAGGAAAGCTGAGTTGAAGTACTGTTCCCGTTGCAATGTCACAAATACCTTTTCTCTCCAGTTCTTTCTTGAAGATCCTTCATAATATGACCAAACTTCTTTTCTGACATTACTCCCTACAGATACTTTGCATTAATTCTTAAATTCAATTTAAGCCACTTGTCTTTTTCTCAGCCATTCTTGTACTTTATGATCAGACTGACTTTTTCCTTGAATGCTCTGTTCCCCTTAATTCTCATATAGGGATTTCTTTACTGTTACCTCTATGATTTACTTTATTTGTAAAATAAGGCCCCATCTCATTTGACAAAGGATTTAAGGAATATGACCTAACTCAAACATAGCCCCTTCTCTGAAACTGATTTCCCCACTTGCCAACCGTGTGAACTTGGGCAAGTTGTCCATTCTCTCTCTAGTTTCTTCATCATAAAATTATCATATAACATCTTTTTTTTTAAAGATTTATTTATTTATGCATTCAGAATTGGAGTACAAGGGAGGGAAGTGAGAGGATTCACCAGAGACCGAGTGGGGAGCAGAACAGACAGATGCACTGAAATACACTGCTGAGAGGAGCAGCGGGTGGATCAGGAAAGGTCTGCCAAGCCATGTGGGTTACCCACTTGGCCAGAGATTGAACTTGTGCACAGTAGCTACACTGCTGTGGCTTCATAGTGCTGTGATTTAACCCTTTGCACCACCAGCGAGGGCCCCTGTAGCATCCTTCTATTGGATTACTCTGAGAATTAAGTGAGTCTCTTAAATATGTTAGGAAAATGCCTGCAATTCATTTATTTAGTCACTCACTCAATAATAGTTTGTATCATTGCTGTGTACTAGCCAATGGAATTTACATTTTCTGTTCCTATGGAGCTTACTCTAGTATGGGAAACTGGTAATAAATAATAAAGTTGCGGGGGACCTCCCTGTTGGCACGGGGGTTAGTCACAGCAATATGAAGCTACCTGCAGCTCCTGCCAGGCAGATAACCCACATGGCACAACAGACCTATCCTCTCTCTCTCTTGCTGTCTCCTCAGCAGTGTATTTCAGTTAATCTACCTGTTCTGCTCCCCACTCTGTCTCTGGTGAATCTTCTCATTCCCGCCCTCTGCACCTTTGGCCTATACCCCAGCTTTTGTATGTATAAATAAGTAAAATACATCTTTGAAAAAAATAGCATATAATATTAGAAAGTGATAATTTCTCCAAGCATGTCAGAAAGTGATCAGTGTTGTGGCAAGAAAAAAGATAGGATAAAGATG